CTTTGTGCACTCGGTATGAACTATGTTAATGAGCCCCTCAAGATAGAACCCCTACATACATAATAATACATAGTCTTACTCTTTATATCAAAGAGCCTGGGGTATCTTGGATAAACAACACTGACTCCTGTTTGAAACCCGGTGAGAGCGGCATTGACTTGAGCCTTGGAAGACAAGGACAACGTTGCTAGGGAATGGAAGGGAAGGTCATTAAGCTAGCTAGGTACTCCAAAGCGGCCTGGGTGAGGAGACAAGTGACAGGCTGAAAGTACTTTTGTAGATATTCGGTCTTATACAACACATGCAAGTGAAGAATGCTATTGTCAGTCACCCGTTGGTTATTGGAGGAAAATGACGGCCAGGACAGGTACCTATTTCACAGATGAGACGCCTTTGAGGAATACAGGGAGAAATGGCGCCTTCTGGTCATTGTACTTTGTCGAGAATGCGAAGTGGAACATAATGATAGAAGAGTGTCCCAAGAGTAGACAAAGAGAGGACCAACTGCATCAAACAAGGTAGACAAGGTACATAGTATATCATAAGGCTGATTAACCCCATCGCCGACCTTGCAAGTCGTCCACCCCCCTGGCCCAAGCAGCAATTAATTAAGCACGACAATGTCAAAACACGCCTTTCCTTTTGCAGATTGCCAAAGACGGAAGTGAAGGGCGGTGGAAGACGGCAGTTCCCTGCGCTAGACGCTTCCAGGACGCCTGCTCCACTTTCTTCCCTCCAGCAGCCAGTCTGTCCCAGTTCTAGGCACCTAGGCCCCCTAGCCTAGTCTAGCCGTGTGTGGTTCAGACACCACCACTCAGCATGACGGAGAGGCTCCACCACTACCACTGGCGCTGTGACTGAGTTCCCTGTGGCCCGTAGGTGTCAGTGATCTGGTCTCGCTGCCGAGTGTGGGCCGGGCTGGCCTTCTTCAGACCTCCCTCCACCACCGGACGCCTCCATACGCACCTCTCACACACCCTCGCCCAGCAAAGCGAACCCCATTACCCAAGCAATCTTTATAACCTTCCCCTCGTCGTGTCTGCCTGATCGCGTCCTCGGCTTGGCTCTGCGTTTGGGCTAGAACCCGTCCTCTTCTTTTCCTTTTGCTTTCCCTTCCACGGCGCCATTTGACGATTTCCTTCGTCTTCCGTTCTGACTCAGACAAAAGGCCGCCGCCGCGTTCCTTCCCTTCCATCAGCTGTAGGTTACGGTACCTCCGTCCCCCGTCGGGCAGCCTCTCCCTCCTTCCGACCCTTGCGACCACGACCTCCTCGCCTTTCCACCTTTCTCACTTCGACGTCGATTTCTGGAGCCGTCGAGGTCTGTGCCGCAAACACACATATCCCTTCTCTTCCCGAACCCATCCATCCTGACTCTTTATCCTTCTGGCCATAAGCAGAGCAGGACCGAAGCCACATATACTCATTATCTCTCCCCATCTGCAGGCGACTCTTCTGAATCCGTCATCTTTCGCGGCTGGTTCTCCCCGCTTCCCCCACGACAAGTCGCCCCCCCCGAACCAACACCCTATCGCCCCCTCCCCCACCACGACGGCCACGACGGCCTCGCTGATTTCCTCTGCCGACCGCGCACTCGACTCGAAATCCTCGGATCATGTCAACTGCCAAGATGGCGCCCGCTACCCAAATGCCTCCGGTTCCTAACCGGGAAGACATTGGAGCCACGTGAGTGGACCTCCGAGGCCTCGCGATGGCACCACCGTTGGTCGACACCCCCGCGCTGACCGAATACAGATGGAAGTACTTGGAGGCCGGCATCCAGCGCATCATGCTGGATCTTGAGCGTGGTATCGACATGCAGATCGTAAGTCACGTCACCCCGCGCCGCATCGCCTCCTCCCTATTTTGATCCGATGAGAAGTGCTGACCGTCGTTTGCTGCAGTACATGGGAGTCTATACGTACGCCCTTCCCGACTGACCGCTGCAAATAACCCTTCTAACAGTGTCTCTAGTGCCGTCCACAACTTCTGCACCTCCCAAAAAGCCGTTGGGTTGTCAGTTCCTCAGGGAAGCATCGGGTCCGGCAACCACAGAGGAGGTGAGCTGGATTATGACCCCTTTCTACCATCGTGTAGCGCTGACACGCTGATCTACTCGGATAGCTCATCTTCTCGGAGAGGAGCTTTACAACAAACTCATCGACTATCTCAAGCTACACCTCGAGGGGCTCGTCCAACAGTCCAAAACGCACACCGACGAGGCGCTGCTGACCTTCTACATCAAAGAATGGAACCGATACACGATCGCCGCCAAATACATCCATCACCTCTTTCGGTATCTCAACCGCCATTGGGTTAAGCGCGAGATGGACGAAGGCAAGAAGAACATCTACGACGTGTATACTCTCCATCTTGTGCAGTGGCGCCGGGTGCTTTTTGAACAGGTTTCCACCAAGGTTATGGAAGCCGTTCTGAAGTTGGTCGAGAAGCAGCGCAATGGCGAGACTATTGAGTACGGCCAGATCAAGCAGGTTGTTGACTCCTTCGTCTCCCTCGGTCTCGACGACGCCGACCCCACCAAGTCGACTCTCGACGTCTATCGTTTCCACTTCGAGCGCCCCTTCCTGGCCGCCACCAAGGAGTACTACCAAAACGAATCGAAGCAGTTTGTTGCCGAGAACAGTGTTGTCGAATACATGAAGAAGGCAGAGACACGGCTGGAGGAAGAGGAGGAGCGAGTGCGCATGTACTTGCACGCTGATATTATCAACCCGCTGCGCAAGACGTGCAACCAGGCCCTCATTGCCGACCATTCGACGCTGCTCAGAGACGAGTTCCAAGTGCTCCTGGATAACGACAGAGAAGAGGATATGGCTAGGATGTACAAGCTACTCTCGCGAATCCCCGAGGGCCTGGATCCCCTAAGGCAGCGATTCGAGACCCATGTCCGCAAGGCGGGCTTGAGCGCCGTGGAGAAGGTGGCGTCCGACGCCGAGAAGCTGGAGCCCAAGGTTTACGTCGATGCGCTACTGGAAATCCACTCTCAGTACTCGGGCCTGGTGACCCGCGCGTTCGAGGGCGAGGCCGAGTTCACCCGATCGTTGGACAACGCCTGCCGAGAGTTCATCAACAGGAACGAGGTCTGCAAGTCAGGATCCAACAAGTCGCCCGAGCTTCTGGCCAAATACACCGACGTACTGTTGAGGAAGAGCGGCAGCGGCATCGAGGAGGGCGAGTTGGAGAACACCTTGACACAGATCATGACCGTCTTCAAGTACATCGAGGACAAGGACGTCTTCCAGAAGTTCTACTCCCGCATGCTTGCCCGTCGCCTGGTGCACAGTAACTCGTCGTCAGACGACGCGGAGACCAGCATGATCAGCAAGCTCAAGGAGGCGTGCGGTTTCGAGTACACGAATAAGCTCCAGAGAATGTTCCAGGACATGCAGACTTCCAAGGACCTCAACGTCAGTTTCAAGGAGCACGTTGCCGGTCTTGGTATCAACAAGAACGCACTCGACTCCCAGTACTCCATCCTCGGTACCGGTTTCTGGCCCCTGACTGCGCCGAACACAAGCTTCACCCCTCCGACCGAGATCAACGAAGACTGCGAGCGCTTTACTCGGTTCTACAAGAACAGGCACGAAGGCCGCAAGTTGACGTGGTTGTGGCAACTGTGTAAGGGTGAGGTCAAGGCGGGATACTGCAAGAACAGCAAGACGCCCTACACCTTCCAGGTGTCTGCCTATCAAATGGCCATCCTTCTCATGTTCAACGACAAGGACAAGCACAGCTATGAGGACATCGCGGGCGTGACCCTGCTGAGCTCGGAGGTTCTGGACCAGGCGTTGGCCATCTTGCTCAAGGCCAAGGTTCTCATCATGTCGCCTGATGGCAAGCCCGGGCCTGGCAAGAGCTTCCAACTCAACTACGATTTCAAGAGCAAGAAAATCAGAGTGAACCTGAACATTGGTGGCGCCAAAGAGGCGAAGCAAGAAGAGGTGGAGACTAACAAGACGATCGAGGAGGACCGCAAGCTCCTGCTGCAGGCATGCCATTTCGTACCCTTGACTTCGTCACACCGTGCTAACAAGCCACTAGTCTGCCATTGTGCGTATCATGAAAGCGAGAAAGAAGATGAAGCACACGCAGCTTGTCAGCGAGACCATCAACCAGATTCGGTCGCGCTTTGTGCCAAAGGTTTCGGACATCAAGAAGTGCATAGAGATTCTCCTCGACAAGGAGTACTTGGAGAGGCTCGAGGACGACGAGCTTGGCTACCTGGCATAATTGGGAGCGAGCTTTTCTCTCGGGAGAATGAAATAAATACCCTCTTGCCTTTCTCGAGTGTTCATGTATTACAACTCTCAAAACTGCATAAACAAACCACCCCCAATCCTACCAGGCATTGATTTTGATTTACACGGGCACACATCGGGCATGTGCAGGTTCTCAACAACAGAACGGAGGAACACTGGTGAATCGTTGGGGGGGGGGGGGTTCTTCTTTATTTTTGCTTTGGGACTGGGGCGGCTGGCTGGGAGGCGGACGGGGTTAGAAAGCTGCATGCAGGTTCATCTTGATCGTTCTCAAATAAAAAAACGAAAGAAACAAAAAAAGGCGTGCTTGCACATTTCTTGTCTTGGCAGTAGCGGACTTGAGGGTCATTTCCATACCACCCCTTCATGTACGGACCATGCAGTGAGACAGACACATGCCCATTGCTTCTTCTCTACGGCTGATGTCGTGTGCACATAGAAGGGGAACCCGGATGTGATCATGCATTTCGGATCTTCGAGGTCTGGTCGGAGGCCCATATCCTTGACGCATGTCTGCTTGTGCAGGACCGGCTAATTAGCACCGATAATCTCGTCTTACATGCCCTGCGTTTCCCTGCAACACTCTGCTTGTGCCCTACAAGAAGCGCTCGGAGAGAAATCAGACAGTTCGCCAAATCCGACACTCTTGATCTTAGACGTCGTCGTCAATTTCGTTGACCAAACCGTTGGGCGTTTTGAGGCGAGACTGTGGACTGTCTGTGGTGAATGATATCCCATGCATGGATCTGATTATCCTACAGGTTAATACATGGGGGACATAGCAGCTACTCGCTTATGGGTTTAATTCATCAGTGTTCCTTCTACGCGCACTTCTCTCTGGGACCTTGCCTGCAACAGTCCCAGTTATTTCGCAACATATCTCGGCAGCGTACATTGTACGATGGCCATCCCACCATGACACAGTTTAGGTCCTTTATCCGGGTCGATGATGTATGGTCCGCCTCTGGTACGATGGTCAAACACCCAGCGCCTCCGTTTTGGAAACACTGAGGACTCGCTTGCCGTTATACGTTAAGACGATCTGCGACTCGCCGTTTCCAGCCTCAACATGGCGCATGGTAACCCCTAGTCCTCTCAGCCCCTCCTCCTCCGCCCGCTGGTTCCAGAGCATCTGCCGTACAGCCCCGTCACTGGAACACGAGACAAAGCCCATCGGCCAGTGGCTCCGGCCCAAAGCCTCTCGGACGCCCTTGCTCGCCGTCTTCTCGCTGGCTAGGAGCGCAACGACGCCGCTACCGCGCCAGCCGACGGGAGCGCCGATAAAGGAACCCTCCAGCTCCCGCACTAACGAGGGGCCGGCACGCTGGGCGCCTCCTTTGCATTGTACAATGACCTTTATAGGTTGATTATGAGAGGGGACGTTCCATGTACCGAGGAGGTCGATGCCATTGTCCGAGGCTCCGCCGACCCGGACGGCCTGGATGCCGTATTGTGAGAGGGTTGAAGATACTACGTACTCGTAACGGGTTCCGACGTAGACTGTTGATGCAACGTCGAGACCGGTGCGTTCCGCATACGCGAGAAAAGAGGCGAGATCGCGGTGGTGTGTTGTTGGAGGATCGGGGTAGAGTAGTTCCGGGCGCACTTTCTTACCCTGTCTTAGTGATGGCCAAGTTGAAATGAATGTTGAGTGAAGCAAGGGGATGACGAGGTGTGATGGTTGGGGCCGTTGCCGGAGCAATAAGCGTCGTATAACATACATGCTCTGGGAAGTCGATGGTGCAAGTAGTAAAGGCACCTAAAAGGTCAGTCGGTATGTATCATCGTGCAGGTAGGTTAGGGAGGCAAGTACTTTATGAGTATTGAAAGCGCCGAAACCTCGTTAACATGAGTTGAAGTCGAGTTCGGCAGGCGAGGGTACGTACCGCGTCCGGCAGGCACTGCGTGGAAGCTGGCCAGTGCACCTGCAGCAAGTACCCTGGCAGCTTGAGACAGTTAGGTAGGTACCTTGGCAGATCGCCGGACCAGAACCTGGGTAGCATTTAGCCCCGCGAAACCATAGCCGCCACCCGTAATTGCAGCCTTGCATGTCTGTCTGTCACCGCATACTCAAACAAACATATTGACGGGGGAACAACTTCAGCAGCACCGCAATGGGCGATAGACTCACTCAATTGCAGGATGCTGTGGACCAGGTACGATGATACGCTCTCCCTTTCCCGCGCACACAATAGTTGACATCGTCTCTAGCTCGCCCAGCAGTTCGTTGCAAGCTTCCACTTCGTCCACCGACGTCACGATCTCGAGCTCCTAGGACCCAATGATAAAATCAGAGAGGTCAAACAAGACCCCGAACAGAAGGAGGGTACGCACGACGCCCTCTATCTCTCGAGACCCTGCGCGTTCCTTTGCACAAGTCGCTGACATTCCGTACCGCAGTCGACCCCCTCCCGCCCGACGAGTTCAAGGATGGCCTGGCCGAGTTGGCGCGCGACCTGATCATCAAGGAGCAGCAGATCGAGGTCCTCATATCGAATCTACCGGGATTGGACAGCAGTGAAGCCGACCAGGAGCGCTATATCCAGGAACTAGAGGACGAGCTCAAGGTCGCCGAGGCGCAAAGGCAGGACGCGATCAAGGAGAAGGACCAGATCCTGACAAAGCTTGACGGGGTCATCAGGGGCATTAGGCGGCCGTAAATCCAGCGGCACCATGGACTCAGGAGTTTTGCACTTGCACATTTACGCACGCGGCGTTTTTGGGCGTTGAGAGGGTCGGGGGGTTAAGTTTACGGATATCTATAGTTCGAGCGATACCCGGTCTGAGAAAAACTAATTTAAAGAATACAAAAGACAACGGGTCTAATCCAGCTCTATGCTCCCTCTACAATTGGTGTTTTTAACCTCGACACCACCTGATCCTGTCCAACCATGGTCGTTCAATCGTTGTTTATAGTGAGTTGCAAGAGTCTAAGCGTTCTTTGACTTAAAAAATTGAGGGAAGACGTCTCGGAGTTCTTTCAGGTGCCGGATCTGATGCGCGGATGCCGGCGTTCTCGGCACAGGCAGGCCCTCCTCTAGCAGATGTGCCACGTTCCAGCCATAGCTTTGGGCTTTCTGGCAGTTCAGATACGAGTCATCTAACACATCAGTCAGGGAAGAGATCTTTGAAGAATGGTCGTCATTGTCGCATACCAACGAAGTAGCAATCCTTCATCTTGTCGACGCCCGCTTCCCGCATGGCTCTCAGGAACATTTCCTTGGCAGGTTTACAGACCAGCGGCTGCTGTCCATAGTCGCAAAAGGTCAGGCCGTCGAAGAGGTCCTCGATGCCCAACAGCTTCACGACACGCTTGGCGTGGTTGACATAAGCATTTGTCAGTAGCCACATTGTGCATTTACTTTTATCGACATCCTCGAGAAGTTGACGCAGTTCAGGGTTGGGTTTCAGGATGTCCTCGAGGGGCAGCGCATCGTCGACCTTAGAGTTGTACTCCAGAGGGTCGATCTGGTGGTGTCGCACGAGACCCTCGATGGCGAGACCATAGTTGGTGTAGTACTCCTTGTGCAGCTTCACTGCGTCTTCCCAGGAGAGAGAAAGATGCTTCGCAAAATACTCGTCGATGAGTTGTGCCATGTGATCTTGGACTTTCGAGCCTGGCCGGGTTTAGCTTCTACACGGTTTGAGTTCTAAGTTTTATTAACTCACTTCTGGGGTACAAGCAATTATCGATGTCACTATAACAAGCACATAAGCTCTTTAATCCTCAAAATACTGGCGTGTGATAACCAACTTACAAGAAAAGCACAGGCTTGGGAGTTTGCACCCCGTTCGCATGAGGCTTGCTGGAATCCATGGTTGGTGTTGAGGAATAAAAGTGACTTGATCTGTTGTGGAAGGAAGGATGCCGCAACGAACCAGGTCTGAGAGGCTCAGCTGCGCGCAGTGAAGTAAATGGATTGGTGGTATATGAACGACAGAACCCGAGAGGTCGGATGGTAGAAGAGAAGCTTCTGGATACGCGAGGTGGGAGTCTGGCTGGCATGAAGCGAGTGAAACCAGCTGGGTTATTTAAGGACACTTTTGCTCCAGTTTCTACAACTAAAGAGAGAGAGAGAGATACTTGCTGCTGACTTAAAAATGCAGTTTGAGGCTTTGTGAGGTGATTGGGAAGCTTTGCACAGTACCTAGGTTGTATCTGTTGACTCACGCCGACAAGATGGAATTACACGTTGCTCTTTGAGGCAATTAGAAGCTACAGGGAGCTGTTGCAGCCAGACGAGGAACATTGGACCTTGGCACTAATGAGACAGGACAGCAGTGACTGACGAAAACACTCCAACCCGAGGTGCACGGCCCATATCCACAATCTACGTAATCGCATTGCAAGCGCCCCCCTTAGGGCATATCGCTGTAAGAAAAATTGGTAAACCAGTTAATCATGCACCTCTATGACCGCGCCGTCTCTTTCCTTAACCACACTCACCCACAAACCTCCATTTCTTCGTCTTCCACCGTACTGCTGGAATAGCTCCCCCCCCCTTCTCAAAGGATTGCTACACTGCTTGTCAATCAGACGGTGTGGGCTTTCACAATATCTGGTATTGGGGGTTTTCTGACTGTATTCTCTCCTTTTCTTTCGCGCGCTCTTGGTTCAAGGTTGCCAATCTCTATCGCAGAGGATTTTTGGCGCAGATTACTCATCGCCATGGCTCAAAGCCAGCTTGCATCAATGCCGTCAATGGCAAATGGGATGTCGCTGGGTTTGTCCAAGGATGAGGCTCACCAGATTCAGCAGTACGAGAGAATTGTGCATTTTCGCGACGCAATCCTTGCTGGGTCGCATCCCAAGATCAAAGTGCCAAAACTGTCGGCTCCACAAGCCTCTACCACTGCAGTAGCACCGCCTTCAAATGCTTCTGTTCCAGCAAAGGGAACAACAGGGAGCACGGTGCAGGGACATCAATCTGGAAATATCCAGCCGATTGCGTCCAACACGCAACAACAAGCGTCTCTCCCTGGCCTGGGAAACCCGCTCCCCGCTAACGCGAACTTGCCTGCAAGACCCTTCGTCAGTGCTGGCAAGACGGAGATCAATCCCATCTTCCTCCAGAAATCTGATGACTTGATCAAGGCCGAGATCCAGCTCCAGAGGCAGCGTCTTGAGCGGGCGCTGCGTGATGAGGTTGATCAACGTCGGGCCTCTATGAAGGCTTCGGCGCAATCGGAGCCTCTTGCCGACTTTGACCTCTCCGACGTCTTGTCCAAGGCTCTGACTCTGGTCCAGGCTGCTCCTTCTTCGTCTGCCAATCCTCTGGTTGCTGCTAATACTTCAGCTGCAAGTGACTCGTTTGATGAGAACTCTTATTATTCTTCCCAACACAACTCGCCCGATTCCTCGCTTCACAGTTCGCGCGCAGGTAACGACGCCGATGCTGTTGCCCAGGCATGCAAGCTACCCGCTGCCGACAGGCCGCTCGAAGGCAGTACGCAAGTACAAGCAAATCAAGGGGCTCAAGTTGGCCTCCCTTCTTCGCTATCCCATGCGTCTGCTACTCATCAGCCACAGGGCCAAGCCTTGAACTCCACCCCATCCCAGACACTACCGATTTCGGGCAGAGCCGACGCCGCGCATGGATACTCTCGATACCCGTCGGTAGGAACGACGCAGAGGACAGAGGGAGGCGATAACACGGGAGCGTCTACATCAGGAGGTGGGAGTGGAAATACCAGTCGAACTGACGAGTCAGGCGTTATGGATCTTGACGACAGTGCTGATAGATCTGTTCCTGCAGCAGGTCAACAGCAACGTAGGGAGTCTATGCTTGCCCGTCAACCCTCGCCTCTGATCCAAGTCCGCGCCTCGAACATATCTCCATTGGCGCCCCAGCCTTCCCATGTCTCGCTTCTAGCAACGGCCAGAGCCAGAGGTCCAGCATTCGATGCCCAGGACATAAATATCCCCCAAGGAACCACCGCTCAAGTTGCACAACTGCGCAATGAACCCAATGTTATTTCCAGCCCAGATAGCTCGCCGCAAGGGGGCCGGAATGGTGAGAAACGGAAGGGCAAGAAAAAGAAGAATAACGCCAACAACAATGCGGGCAACAAGAGGTCAGTGAGGCAAGCGCCAGACGAGCCTTACATCAAGCCAGAGCCGCGTTCGCCATCCCCCATGAGTGCACCGTCTTTTGTCCGACCACAGAAACGACTGAGAAGACAGGCCGACGAGGATCCTCATTACGCTCTGCCCGACCGTCAATTTTCTCGATCGTATAGAGATGAGGGTGCCGCGCCGGCGTATGAGCCTCAAGAGTATCGCCTAAGACCGGTGAGCCAAGCCGTAACATCTGGCGACTATGGGTATGGAAGGGAATACGTGGAGGAACCGCGCGTTCCGAATGGCGCTGAATATGTCCGACGAGTGCAGTCGCCGGGTGTCTATGCCGTCCACTCCGCTCCAAATGAGATATACGCAACTTCTCCGGCAGCCAGTGTCGATCGCTACGGTAGGGAGCCTGCGCGGTATTATCGCGATGGCTACGAAGTAATGCGTATGAGCGCTCGTCCCATGGCAGATCGTGCGAGATCTCGCTCTCCCGTCATGAGAGACAGAGCGTCCCCGCTGATGGGACCGCCTAAAGCACCACCTGCGAGAGTCGTGGTTGATCCTGCCACCGGCCGACAATACTACGAGCCGGTTAGCGTCGTTCGGCAGTCGGTCGCGCAGCCACCGCTCCGGCCTGGCGAGCCCGAGATGATTTACGAGAGGGCACCCATCCGAGCCGAATCCAGACGACCCGGTCCCGACCCTCGTGACGACGATGTGCTCTATCAGCGAACCTCGCCAATATACGCAGCACCACGCAGAGTCGTCACCCAGCCCGAGTATGCCATATCGGATGCTCATCGCGTCTACAGGCATCGGGAATACTCGGCCAGATCAATGGTGCCCTCAGGTGAAGAATACATCCCGGCAAGAGGCGGATTGGAGCAGCGAAGAATTATTGAGGAACCGCCGCGAGAATACATGATGCGGGCAACAACAGCTCGACCGGCAGAAACAGTGCGGTACGAGCTCCCGCGGGAATACGGAAGAGTACAGAGTGTGAGGCCGGAACAGCTGCCCATTCAGGACTACGCCTCGGTGCCGATGCATCCCGAAGCCCGCCTGGAAGTTATCCAGCCCGGCCCTCGGTCCTACAGCGTTAGACCATCGGAGCCTCAGGTGATACGCCGGGAGTACAGCGTGCGACCGATGGAGCAGCAGCAGTACTACGGCCAGCCACTTCCGGCTCGTCCCGAGCCGGAGGTGTCCTACATCGAACGACCTAGAGTAGCCGCGCAGGAGGTCTACTATGCAGATGAGGCTCCGCGCCCGATGTACCATTGACAAATGGGAGAATGGTAGGCCCACTGGCATGGCATGGAGTAGGTTGGTATTTGAGGCAAAGTTCACACCCTGTCAAAACTCGGAAAAGTGAAGGCATCGGACGGAGTTTAGGGCATAGAATCTGTGAAGGCTTGGGTAAGGAAAAAGTTTGTGATGGGACAGAGTTTCGGATACGAGGCGTGTTGAATCAAGAACTCTGGCAAAGACTACGATGTAGCCAGGCTCAACATTGCATTCTGCAAGTTTTTTAATCGGACAATTGTGAGGCATTTCAGCTGTACATTTGTGGGAGAGTCGACCCTAATGAAGTGTACCAGAAGGCAACTAAGTTGTGACGGACTGCTGGACAAAGTCACGATCCAAAAGGCGGAAATGGTGCGGTCAATCGAGAAGGTGTTGTGTGTGTGTGTATATGTGCCGTGACCCAACTTTGCCCCACCCAGACTTTGTCAGAGAAAGAGGGAGAGAGAGAGAGAAAAAAAGAGAGAGAAGTAGAGGGGGGAACGTGAGCCGCGACACGGGATTGAGTTTGCTCACGTTCAGGAGAAGATAATGGAAATCCGCGCCGTCGACTTTAGAGCCCCGGGCACGGACTCGAGCCTCAAAGCGCGCCCGCCGCCGTCCGTTCAATACGGATGTCGTGAGAGGATCTGTTCGCACAGTTTCCTTGGTGCGTCTGTCCGCTCCGAGCTTCACGGGAGAGAGGGATACTACCCCGTGGGAGGGGGGGCCGCCTGCGGAGCCGGGCGGTTTGGGAGGAGAGGGGGAGGGGGGGGGGGGGAGTTATGCAGAAAATAGAGGTCGGTTTGGAGTCGGGCGGGTTTGCTGGTTCACCTCACCACAGCGGGTAAGTACATCGTCGCTTGTAGAAGAGAGGAGCTGGGGGTCTGGGGGAAAGAAAGGAGGGAAGGGGAGCGCAAGGCACGGCGAAGAGGATTCTGTGAAGTTTCTGTGAAGTGATTGTCAGACACGCCCGCGTAATTTCTGTCGGACTTTCCGCTTCATGTCAGGTCGTGTGTGGGTGGACTCGAACGGGAGACGAGCGAAGATCCATGCTCGCAAAGGGAAGATGCGGCAACTGTGTCCGTAGTGTAGGGAGAAGAAGAAGAAAAAAGAAAAAAAGAACGGGATATACACTAGCTATGAGGAGAATATTCGCAAGGTGGGTGGGTTTGTCTTACGAGAAATTTTTCGTTGCTGCGTTTGTTATCTTCGGTAAGACAATAAAACAGGAGAAGCGGATCTCCCACAATGTGTCGTTTTCATCTCGTAGTAGACGAGTTAGTTTTATAAGCCGTCCATACGTATACGATGTACATAGGAGTAATATCAGACGTGCCTAGTGTGCCCTGATCGGCGTAGGGGAACACGCAAAGGAAGGAACACCTACTACCGTATTTGTACACCTTACAGCGGAATAGACTGTTGCTCGAAATACTCCTGCTCCGGCGGATCCGGTATGCAAAGTTAACTGTTCCCAACTGCGTCAGAGTTGTCGACTTTCACTACAGAGTACCCGCACCTTACCGTAGGCCAACTCGTCAGACAAGGTTTGCCGGTCAGTATCACTGCTAAGGGTGCGTACCCAGTCAATACAGTATGGCCCAACCCTGATTTGGTCTTGGCCTTGGTCCGAGTGCCGCAGCGTGCAAGACCAGTTCGAGGTTGAAACGTTCATTCCAGGATCATCGATCTACACACCCTCTTCTCGGGCTAGAAGACGAGAGAGTGCGTATTAGGTCGACATCGGCTGGGTTCACGTTGCTTGTCGGCGTTGGAAGGACCCAATGCCAGTTTGCATCAACGCGGTTCCGCCGAGCTTGTAGTCGGCGTGTATCGGGTGTTTGGCATCAATGTCGGGAGCCAGCAGAAACCACCTGACACCCGGACACCCGGACAGGTTTGCCATTCGCCTTTGTAAGTCGATTCACCGGTGGATCACAGTTGCAATTGGCGAGCAACGCAACGCACGGCGGTCCGGTCACTTTTTCAAGGTTGCAGATCAAGCAGAGCCGTGCTGACGCGCTGTCCTGTTTCCAAGCGCCGACTCACTCCACGGCATCTTCCTTGTCTCGGGAGAGTGTCGAGGGCGCGTAATTGTACAGCAAAGACAAGACCAAGTTTTTTGTGGCCCGCGAGGAAAGCCCTACCTAACTCAAGCCTCGGGGCTGTTCGCTCATGTGCAGAGCCATTCCGCCGAACTGCGAGGTACCTCTCTCATTCATACCTTTGTCGTATCCGAGTTTTTGGGTGTTCGCCAACCAGGGTCACAGAGAGACGAGAAGGGGATGCGAAGCCAACAGTGTACCGTATCCACTCGTTAGATTCGTACACTGCACTGACCATGGGCTGCTGGATAGGGCCTAGCGGGCTGGCAGAAACAGGGATCTAGAAGTGGCAAATGTAGGGGTTAGTCAACGTCAGCAGCAAGTTTGGTGGCAAGGGTTAGGGTTAGATGGGTGGGTGTGTGGCTAGGCTGGCTGACCGCCTTTTGAATTAGGCCTAGTGGGTGGTCAGTGCAGTGTACGAATCTAACGAGTGGATACGGTAATGCCAAAGTAGCGCTATCAATAAGCGAGAGGATTGGGGCACACGGCAACTGCACCAACTGTTGGCCAGGCGGTCCTCGCGGTCCGCGGATGAGTGGTGCCACCCTTTGAGACGTAAATGCGAATTGGTCCAAGGGTTCAAGGATATTGTCTAACTTCAAGGCAAGAGTTGGAAGTTCAGTTGAAGTTCCAACATGTCAGGAACTGCCGGTTTGGGACGTTGCGGTGACTAACGCGTGCGCCCGGCCGAGTCTTTTCTTCCATGTAATTTAATTACGGCGAGCATTGCATTACTGTTTGTTTTAACGCCATGGTGGCTACTGAGGGACCGGATCAGCAGGTGGGTATAAAGCGTCTATATCGAGACTGAATGCTGACGGCTGTGCCCTGGATACTCTGCAAGGCACAGTTATTTTGAACAGATCGACAACAGGCCAGTGATTAATCTCACCAACACATGGCATTGCGGTGATTGGGTCAGATTCGTCCGCTTCGTTGCTGATGCCAGATATGATCCTTCTAAAGTAGCGCCAGCGACCCCAAAAGAAACGGCCGAACTTGGCCGGGGCACGGATACAAGGTCAGCTGATTCATGGCAGCTAGACCGGCCAAGATATGGGCAGGTGCAAATTGGGGAGACGAGAAGAGAAACGAATTCGTTTGCTAGCTCTCCATTCAACTCTGAGATATGTTCCGCAAGAGTTGTCGTCAAGCCCCGTTGACCGCCGGAAAAAGTGGTGACGACGATAGTACCTAGCATGACGGCTGAAGATATCCTGATACATAGCACGTAGCCGAGGCGGTCCCTAGTGAGGGGTAACATGCCGACTGAGCGGGCAACGGATACGAGCAGCAGTAGGTCCCCAAAAGCATTATGCTAGTGGTGATCCGGGTGGAACTTCCGCCGTGATTGCCATAGACAGGTCGAGAAGCCTTTTTTGCCCACCTCCCTGTGGTTTGTATCCATTGTTCATAAGGAGTGGTGGCCTGTATCCGTACTTTTGCCAGGCAGGGGACAAGGCAGGCGGTAGAATTGGTCCATGTCGGCTGTCAGTCGCGTGCCCGACGCTAGGAATTTAGGATCGAGTGCCTAGCGAAACGAGGGAGGGTCTCATCAGGCGTTGGCGGCGGGCAGTGCAACGCGCGGTGCGGTGCGGTGCGGTGCGGTGCGGTACGGTGCGAATAGACTGATGAATGGAGCAAGTTTAGTGCGTATGTACACCTACGTAAGGCGTGAGACTGCGAAGTTGATGATGGAGTGGGGGCTTTGCTCAACCCCCACCAACCAAATGGAATCCTGGTCCGTGACCTTGAGCTCGAGTCGGGGAGGCGAGCTGAAGTGGTGCTGCTGTTTGGCCTTGAGGCAAGAAGCCTGGACTGAAGCTGACAGACTATGGTTGACGCCTATCTAGGTAGGTAACCGTCCAATCTTGGCTGTCTTGGTTGCTGATAGGATTCGCATATCAGTCTGGGCAAGGAGGAAAGAATTGGAATACTGGCCAGGCCTTAGAGAGGCCCGACCAACGTCTGATCAAAATAGTCTGGGCTCGACGGTGGCCTGCGTTCATTCCTGCGCGAGATGTCTCAAGAGTCCGCGGCGGGTCGATGTGGTATGTGCTCGAGGTTCTGCCGACTGATGGTTGGGTGTTTTGGTAAGGGCGGTAGTCGCGAGGTGTCGCTTGTAGAAAGTCCCTTACAATCCGGCGCTCCGTGTACTTGGAAAGTACCTACATGGCGTGGCGGCCGGTCTTCCGAGTGCCTGCGGGCCGCGTTGTGGTTTTCTCCAGGTTAGGGTGTGGTGGGAGGCGACAGCGACGCACACACCTGCTTGGTCCTTCCTCATCAAGCAACGGCATGCCATAGGTGATCCTCGCATACCTGGTCCGATCCTCCTCCGCCACTCGAATCATTTCTTTGCTCTCTCTCAACATGCCTGGCTCGGCTTCGGTAATCTCATTTAAACAGCCGAGCTTACTTGCTGTCGGCAAGAGAGGAACATGTATTACTTGCTACCTACTATGTCGCCCAAAGTGTACAAGTAGGTAGGTAGGTAGGTAGCTACGTAGGTGGGCCTGTTTTCGAGACAGAGGTTGAGCCTAAAGAGCCTCTCATTGTTTGCCGTGACATAGCTGCTATTATTACATAGGTAGTCTGGGCTCTCACGAACATGTAGCCACCATGGGCCAATGTCCCGTCCGCGTCGCGTCTGGTTTGCCTCTTCCACAGCGGTCTGTGGGTTTGCTGGGCTGCTGAGATCTCGGTACCCAAGGACGAAAATGCATGATGCTTTTGCACACAGCCGAAGAGGCGAACCAGATTACTTAGGTACCTAGCTGCCGCCCTATAGCCGGACGGAAACTTGTTTCATGCCGAACGCCAGTGATTGCCTCCGTCGATCACCGTCATCCCAGTACGGGGAGCATTCTGCGTTACGTTGCGTTGCGTTGCAGTACAAAGTCAGCTTTCTCAGTCCCCTAAAATATGTGGTACATCCACGGTTGCGGAAGAGTTGTGCCAGCGGTCGTGGAGTTACAAGGAGCGATAATGTTGTAGCATGTGTAATGCTCTGTGGTAATATAGAACTAAGACGTGTAATGTTGGACTTGGATTGGATGCAAACATTCAAGAGTGGTCTGGTGCGTTCTTGGTCCTTTTTTCTTCTCACTTTCTGTTGGATTCTCAAAGGTTGGTAGGAGAGGGTGGGGATGAGAAGAAATATGGGGCTGTACTACCATTTAGAAAGTATACCTACACTTGTCGTTTCGTGGAAGAGTACATGCTTCCGGTTTGGCCGGCCACTGTTGGTACGAACCCACTTGGCCCTGCGAGCCCTGCAAAGGGATCACAGCCTTCCCAGTCAGCGCGCTAGCTTGCTTGTCAGTCCTAGTGAACTGCGGCCGTTGAGAGTAGGTCTATGACCACCCATGGATGCTTACCTTACTAGGTACGTAGATGCCGGAGGTACTTGGCGTACGGCGGCAACAATGCTGGGGAGGGGGCTTCGGGCGGGAGCAAGTGCCATCCTGAAAGAAGGTGTGCGGTCTTCTGGATACACACTTACGGGTGTCATGCTTGATATCTTGCATAGTCGTCCATCCAAGTGGTTGTATTTTGCTGTCACAAGGGCTGATAAAACACGCGGGTATCTGAACTCAAGGGTCTTGCTGCACCGGGTCTCATCCCCAGCGAATCGATGAGTGAGGTGTGAGGTGATACTGCGTATGCCCTGCACAGTGGGCTGTGTGGGTGATTCAGTGGTCTTGCTGGGGGAAACTTTAGGCCTGACATGAGCCTGGCCGACTACACTCAGGGTGCCCATCCAGTGTCCAGTGGCCAGCATCCGTGGACCCCCAGACAGGGTTGGAGGAAAGGATACCTCGCCCTTGCGCCATGTCAGCACCAGCAAGCATGTACAGGTACCTATTTGTGCACCCATGTACGCACCTCCGTTTAGGGACGGGGAACATCTGGGACTGGAGGAGGGGCCACACACCATTGCAGCGGAACACGTTGGTTGACTGGCTGGTTGGCCTGTGGAGTGGAGTCGACCTGGGACTGGGTCTGTAGGACGGGGGACTGGGAGTGGCCGGACCATGCCATGCCTTGCCTGGTCTGGCCTGGGCCTGCTTTTGTGCGGCCTTGACCACCTATGACCATCCTGTCCAGTGTCTGAATCTCCCGACTCGACTCCTCTTCCCTTGAGTTCTTCCCACACACTCACAACTTCACCCAACATCTTTCACCCTCCTCTCTCTTAACAATTCCCTCTCTACAGGCCCTTCCCCGAGTCTGAGAGAGAGCTTCGAGAAGCGACACCCTCTTCTTCTTCTTCTTTTTTTTTTCCTCATCCCCCCTTCATCATTTTCTTTCCCCCCTTCCCTGCCCCCTTGCTGCGTTTTCGAATACCCTCAATTGCTGTTCGCGGTCCATTCATTTGGCCTTCTGCCCCCTCCTCCCTGCCCCCGCCGCCGCCGTCGCTGCTGCCGCCTGTCTTCTGTCGCCCACAATATGAACAAGCTGGCAAACATGCGCCACTGGTCCGAGAGGATGAGCCCCAACTTCGGAATGGGTCGTCCCAACATGCCCATGAACCCCATGAACCCGAGGAGAGACACAGCTCCCCAGCAGGCTGCTTCGATAAGCTCACCTCAGCCTCTCGATGCCCCAACGCCAATCATCCACTACTCGTTCAACGTGCCGTTCGCCTCCGACCTCGCCGGTCCCAACACCGAGGACATTCTTCACGCGACTGCCGATGCCGTTCTGCGATGGACTCACCCCGAAGACGCGCCCGATGATGTCCAGGTCCACGAGTTGCCCGTCCACACCCAGAACCTCGCCAGCCTTCGCAAAGTCTGCAAGGACATCACCAACGGCCCCTTCCAGATTGAGGCTCATGTCATCTCGACGACACCCAAGAACGCAAAGGGACAGCAGGTCACTACCGTGTGTCTGTCGGGTACCCCGGAAATGGTCCACAAGAGCAGGGAGACGATCTTGAACGACAACCAGACTGTCCTGGTAGGTTTTTGAAAGACAAACAGCAGGTGCTCAGGCCTTGGTTAACCTGTTCGGGTCTAGCGTTGTACGACTGTCGACGTGGAGGGGCATCTCGTCTGTGATTTGACTGCCGGCGCCTTGAAGCAGCAAGTGACTGATACTCTGGATTACATCTCCAAGTACTGCGGCGTCGACATTTTCCTCCTCGGCCCCAAGCTTACTCCTGTTGTCGACGGCATGACGGGTGATGCCGAGATGCGTGTAGACCAAAGATGGCGGGTGGCCATATATGGTGATATCCTCTCTGTTGAGCATGCAAAGGCCCGTGTGCTCATCCAGATTGATACTCTGGTAAGCTCAATCAGTCGACGATTGGTTCGTGTCTCACCTCCCTAACTGTATGACAGCTTGGCCGAGTCGTTGATGCCACCAAGCTCGACCTTTCAATTCACCAGCTTGTGTGCGGCCGTCACCGAAAGAACATCAAGCTCATCGAGTCGTCTACCGGCACTGCTATCTACTTCCCACCGCCCTTTTCCCAGATGTACAGGTACTGCCCGCCCGGTGCAAGCCGCCGAGACCCTACGGACATCTTCATCACCGGGGAGAGCCCCCAGGCCATTGAACTTGCGAAGCAGAAGCTCCACGAAACTGTCTCGCGCATTCGCCTCTATATGAAGGACGTGACCATTGCGCCGGCCAAGATTGACAGCATTCTCCTGACACGTCTAGACAAGGTCCGCAAGATTCTCGAGGCGAACGGCACCTACATCCTGTTTCCTCCTCTGGCGAGCCAGCGCAACATGGTTCGAGTTCAGGGAAGCGAGGGGCTTCATGTGGAACGTACGGTCCGCGAGATCATGGCCTTGGTAGGTTCCGCAAAGGTCATCCCAAGAGACACGGATCTAATCATACGTCATAGGCCGGACAGTTCTACAGCGCCGCTTGGTGGATTCAACAGCCCGACAACCGACAGCTTCCGAACCCCGCCGACGTCAGAACCATGCTTGGTGATGTTTGTGCGAACTCGGATGCGGACCTATCTTTCGACAAGATGAACTTCTCCATCACCGGTTCTGACGACGCCGTTAAATCTGCTTTGATGGTCATGTCGGAGATCAAGTTCCTCGTCCAGTCCCAATACCAGATCCGAGTCAAGATTGAGCTTGCCAATGAGCACAAGGAATTTGTGAGCGGCAAGAAGAACGGAAAGATCAACAAGATCATGGGGCAAAGCAGCGTCCAGATCATCTTCGACGGCTTCAACGAGTACAACTTCAACATTGACGTGATGGCAGCTGGCTACGACTCGATGAAGCAAGGCCTCACTCTTGTCGAGCAAGAGATGCCTGCTTCCATCTCGTTCCACGTCCCGGACCAGTACCACAAGCGAATCATTGGCATTGGCGGGCAGCACATTCAGCGGATCATGAAGAAGCACTCGGTCTTTGTCAAGTTTTCTAACGCCATGGACCGTGGAGGCATGGGCCGTGAAGATGACGATGTCAAGGTCGACAACGTCATTTGCCGCACTCCTGCCAGAAACGCACAGAACCTCGATGCCGTCAAGAACGAAATTCTGGAAATGGTTGACAGGGCTGTAAGTTTACCCCCAGCTCTACACCATATCTCCTCCGGCTTACGTTTTGCTCCAGGATTCCGAGTACACCTCCCAGATTGTCAACGTTGACCGCCTGTACCACCGTCAGCTCCTCGCACGCCTCAATGAGATTGATGAGCTCGAGGGCAAGTACAACTGCAAGATTGTCTTCCCCAGCACCGAGCAGGCCAGCGACGAGGTTACTGTGACTGGCCCACAATGGCAGGTGCCTCATTGCGTGGATGAGTTCTTGGTACGTATCTATGATATCACCCGTTCCGCATTCCACTGACAGCCGCCTAGGGTATGGTTCCTGATAATCACGAGTTGGTTCTCACTCGCACTCCCGAGTTGATCAAGTTCCTTGAGTCGCCGAGCTTCGCTCACGACCTTGTTCCTAAGCTGAAGACCCAGTACGAGGTTGAGGTCACAGTTCACCAAGATGCAGACTCCGAGGAGGGCTTGCCGGCTCTTGCCCTGCGTTGGACGTTCACTCGCAACAACGCCGGCGGGCTGAGAGATGCAATCGACTTTTTGCTTGCTCAGTTTGCTACTGCCGGTGTTGAGGTGACCATCTTGAAGGGCTCTATTCCTCGACCCAAGTCCGACTCGTTCGAGGACTCGCTTCAGTATTTTGACTCGAAGCTTCTCCAGCACGCCCCGGCCACGATTGCCGCTGATTCCCCTACCAAGGCTGCCTTTGAGGGTGAGGTCGCTCGCGAGCGAAGCACCATCTTCGATCGCCTCCGCAAGCCTGGTAGCATGACCTCCATTTCCTCCTTCCTTGATCGCCGAAAGAACAGCTCCCACTCGACGACCAACGGCAACTTCTTCAAGGGATCCAGCAATGTTTCCAAGTCTTCCCTCATTTCGATCGAGTCCACTCGCAGCTTTAACGCGGACAGAAACCCCTGGAACGATAGCGGCGTCAATCTTCCAGACGACGACAACCCATGGGCCCACCACCGCCCTCTGGGGAATGGTTCTGACAAGCTGGCCATTCCCCAACCTGGTGACGTTACGCCACGTCACAGCACTCGAGCGTCCGGCGACAGCGGACGCCCTTCTACGTCTCATTCTACGAATTCTGGATACCCCGGTCCCATCGGACCTTTCCGTTAGATTCCCGTCTTAGAAACTCTACGTGCAAAATACCCCGGCTGGATATACCCTGGCGTACAATACCCCCGGAACGTTGCTTCCGATGCATCGGTCGGCCGAAGTTATTGTTTTGCCTGATTTATTGTTACCTTGCTTTCTTGCTTTTGTCTTGCTTCCATCTTTCAGTATTTCGGATTCCGATGGTTATTTCTCGTACGATTTCACGTCCACTCTTTATACCCACCGATGTCGAAAGGCAGAGGACAAAAAAGAAAAGATACCTTGTTCGCGGTTTGGTTGATTGTTTTGATTCTCCCGGCGCTTCTGATGACCGCGGTCATCGGAGGATACGAAAAAAGAAAAAGGTCGAGGGTTCATGCGGTTTCGCCTACTGTCTCAATTTTAACGCTTCAGTCGCTAGGTCTCGCGGCTCATGGGTCTGGTCGGCCTGTAGCTCCTCTCGCCCTTCTATTCAGACGGCTTCGAACAACGGACATACGCCGACACAAGGAGTCGTTGGTTGAGCTCGATGTCAACTTGGAGGAAAGATGCGAAAAAAGGTTTATGCTCTTTAGTGCTGGTTGACCCGGCGAAGCTGCTAGGCGGTGAAAGGGAAAGATTGTCATGGCAGCTGGCCAATGTGGCGCAAGATTCAGCAACCGGGCTGAACCATGAGCGGGGAAATTATGACGGGACTGTATTGACGTCTTCACAACGTGTAGGTTGGCCTTGACATGCAATGATACCCATGGTCGATCACACAAACTCTTCCTGGAACATGATGATTGGTGCCTTTCTCGCGCGTATATGCAGGCCACCTTGAAGTTATGACTATTTTTTATATAGGAGGCCAACTCATGGTCGACAGTGAGCTATCAGTCGGCTATGCTGTCTTACATGCTCTTTGTTCTGACATGGTTCATTCCAAGCCTAGCCAAATCTCAAGAGTGCGCACGATGACGGTGTCCAACTTCTTTCCAAAAAGGGCGATTACAATAGCCCAAGTATCTTGCTTTAATATGGACGAGGACTCTCACGCCTATGCTATCTTGTGAGCTTGGTAGAAACGAGCAGGTGTCCGCCATCCGCCATGTAGCAGATTTTGACATCTACCACTCCTTTTCCCCCTCAATGCCCTTTCCTCTACCCATCCTTATACCGTGCAAAGGCAAGCCAGTTTTACCCAAAATAGTTGCAACGCCGTGACAACACCTAATCTTACAACCCATAGAGAAAGAAAACTCAACGAGGCGGATGAGTCAAACACGAGGCAGCTCTCTACGAGGCAAGGGGGCCGACAGATACCTTTTCCTGCCGCGCTCGCGCCTCATACTGGGCAATCTTGTGATGCTGTCGCTGAGCCTTTCTCTTCTCCGTCATGATGCCCGCGAACCGGCCCTTGGCCCCGTGCTTGATCTTGGTAATCATGTCCGTCGCTTTCCCCTTGTCTACGTCATCGGCCGTAAGTGGCTCTTCCTTGAGGCGCAGCTTGTTGAGGAACTCGAGCTGGCCGGGCGTGGGCGGGCCTTTCCGCCACCGCTGGTACCGGTGGATGAAGACATGCGGGAAAGTCTCGGAGGCGTACTTGTCGCTGCCGTGGACGGCGTCGGCGAAGGTGGTCGCCCTGAGGAGCTCGCGAGGCGCGGCAAAGGGTGATTTGGCGACGCCTGCGGGCAGTGCGCGGACTTCGACGGCGACCCAGAGGGGAGGTTTCGGTTGTTGAGCCTGGGTTTTGGTGGCGTCCGCTTCCATCTTGAACAGACGGATGAAGGATCCGTTCGGGGCGCAGAGGACGTATTTATCAGCGCCGACCTGTACCCAGGCGTACTGACTGATGGCCCGGATGTGTTTCTCGCCTGAGGTGTCCTCGATAAGATCGAAAACGGAGCCGTAGTCGGTGAAAGTAACCGAACAAGCGGACGCGGTGGCAGGTTGAGGATCCGGGGCGTCGGAGTAGGCGTGCTGCTGCCGGAGACGCTCCGCCTCTTTTCGGTCTTTGATCTCGTTCAGATCCGCCGTCGATGCCTTGTCGACGAGCTCATGGGGGTCGAGGCCGAACAGCGTCGGCGTGGTGACGATGCCGGTCTCCAGGCTCGATACCATGTCGATGACGTGGCAATCGGACTTTCCTTTATGGAGCCTCATCCCTCTCCCAATCATCTGGACTAGTAAGTTCCTGGATCGCGTCGGCCGTGCGAGGACCACGCAGTCGATGTTGGGGATGTCGGTACCCTCGGTGAAGACCCCGCAGTTGACAAGTACGGGAAACTCACCCTTCCGGAACGCTTCGAGGATCTCGCTTCTCTCTACTTTGGGCGTGTCACCCGTCACGAACCTGGCATCATAGCCGTGCTTCCTGAACGCCTGCGTCAGCCCGCCGACGTGTGCGAGGTCGACACAAAACACAAGCGTCGACTTCCGGTCCGACGCCTTGGCCAGCCAGCTCCGAACGGTGATCTCATTGACCTGATGCGTGTTGACGGCACGGGAAAGATCCCCTGGCCGAAAGTCCCCGTTGACGCCGTTCTTGACCTTAGATATATCGGCCGACGAATTTACGGTCGTGAAGACCACGTCAGACAGCCACTTGTCGCCGATCATGTCGACGTAGTCCTTATGGTAGACGATCTGGTCGATGGCGGCCCCCAACTTCAACCCGTCGAACCGGGAAAAGGTGGCGGACACGCCGACCAGAGCCGGTGAGTCGACACGTTTTGTATCGAGCCCGAAGTGGCGGAGCACACGCATGTAGCCCGGTGCAACGATATGGTGTGCCTCGTCAACGAGGATAAGCTTGAAGCGCCGCGGGTCGAACTTGCTTAGGCGGTCGCCCGAGGTTATGCTTTGCAGGCTGGCAACGGTGATGTCCGCAGTGCCAGAGGCGTGCACCGAGCCCATTTCGATCTCCACAGAGCTGTCCAAATAGGCGTTTGTGCAATGTCGTGCTGCTTGCTCCACGAGCTCCCTTCGGTGCGCGAGGACCAGGGTCTGCGTGGCAAGCTCTTGCTCGGGTAGGATCCTCTCAATCAACTGAGTGAAGATTACCTGGGGAGAGTCAGCCCGAGTACGTTCTCCGTGGAACGAGAGAGCTTACTGTTTTGCCACTGCCTGTAGCCAGCGAGATCCCCAGTCTCTTGTTTCCATCTTTGAGAGACTGTAAGACAGACTGGATGCACTCTTCTTGATAGTCTCGCAGTTGAATATTGGTGCTTGCGCATCGTAAGGCAGAGGGGGTGGGCTGCTTTGGCAAGACTACAAGTGGCCTGAATGTGGGGATAGCTGTTTTTATCGCTAAAGAAGGTCTTGGAAGCTTTCTTATCACGGATCGTATCATATTGCAGTGATTTTCATAAATTGTGTTGGTTCAAAACGAATGAGTGAGTCTTAGTCCTGAGGTCACCATCTCAGGAGCTCAGGAGCACATGGATTAGGCAGATGCGCCAATCAGGAGCCTGGAATATCCCCATAGAGGTAGCATGTCCGTCTGTGGAAGGTATCGATAACTCCACACTAACGTGGTTCCAGGCAAATACGCTGCGATTCTGATAGACCAATGCCAGGTACACTTCCAGCAACCCGTCTTTTTGTGGATTGAAATCTTCGACCTCAAGTGAGGTAGACAACAACTTTCATCTCATGACAAGACTTAATCGATCTCACGTATCCGCGAGGCAACCACAAATAGTATTCGATTTAACCACACTATTTAAAGGCAGCCGACGTCTTGCCTGATTCGGCATCGCTCTCTTTTTTTATGCTGGTGTTCACATCACACCATGTACTCTTTACACCGCCCGGGCCGAATTGTCAACTTCAGAGTACCAGACGAAGATGAGCATGGGATCGGAAGCCGAATTCTTACACGACGAGGAGAATATTCGAGACCACGCAGACCTTGATCATTCACCTTCGAAACGGCAGAGGACACAGCCCCGAGAAGATGAATCTGCTTTCACACCATCCAGCGACGATGACATTGATGTCTACAACAGCCGCTCATCACACAAACGACGTGCTTTGAGCGAGGTCATCGAGCCAGTTCTCAAGCGACACAGGGGGGCATTCAACAACAACTACTTGGATCTTCTCAACCGTGACATTGAAGATGTCACAAAGTTCTCGCTTGATGGGGAGGAAGAAGGCCTTCCTCCATCGCAAATAGGCCTGACACTCTGGACACCGTATGAGAAGAAGGTATTCTTTGAAGCACTCTCAAGACTCGGAAAAGATAACATCCGGGGAATTGCTGACCGCATACGAACCAAAAGCGAAATCGAAGTCCGCCAGTACATTGCCTTGCTTGCGGACGCCATTGAAAGGAGAAGGCAGGAACAGGAGGGAGGCCTGAAGCCTCTAGAGCTGACAGAGTACCCCGCAGCCGTCGAGATGAGCTTGCCATGCTGCCACGCGCTCGATGAAGCGGCCGACGCGCTTTCTTTCCGCCAGGAGCGGCACGAAGAGCTCGTCGAGCAGAAGAAGTGGGGCGAGTGCTGGAACATCAATCTGGAACTCGCAAGGCGCATCGAGGGCGACCACGGCCGAGAGAGAGACACCACCTTCGCGAGTGACCACGGCCTAAAGTTCACCGAGCTCCTCTGCGTCAAGAACTTTGTCCGCCTCCCCGAGCGCATCTTCATGAACGCGTCCCATGCCGAGAACAACTGGCAATTCGTCAGCGAGGAGCCGCCGACGATCCGCGCCACCGCTTTGCAGGACTTCCACTCGCTCTTGGTCTCTGTGACGAAGAAGCTCGTGCTCACGACGCTTTTCATCGCCGAGTCCCGGATCAGGGGGAAGAGGAAAGTGGCGCCGTCCACGAGGAACCTTGTCAGACGCAAGGATGTCGAGGCGGCAGTCGCGTCCCTGGGGATGAAGCAGAACAGCGATGAGTTCTGGGCGACGTGCGCGCGTCGACTGCGGCTCGAAGTCTGGGACGACGAAGCCGAGGAGGATGCCGGGGAAGAAGACGAGAACGAGGAGTCGATGGCGTACGACCGCGTGGAGCGCGTTCTTCGTCGTGAGTCCGATGTCCCCGAGGACGGGGCAATGGAAGAAGGATCCCCAACGCCGGAAATCAAGTCTGGGGACCGCGAGTCGTCCGAATCTACAGATGAAGAGGCCTCGGGCGGGGAAGAACCGGGCGACGACGCAGACGTTGCTCCACTCGACGATGCTGAACGCGAAGTCATTGAGGAGGCCAAGGAGGTCCTCGTTTATTCCGCCCATGACTTCCCCGAGACGCACCGCACGAGGGAGGCCCTGAAGAACAGGATCCGGAACGAGCGGACGCAGGAGGCTCAGGCCGATGCCGAGGATGCAAAGGCTAGCTACGAGGCCGAGTTGGAGATGTGGCGGCTTCTGCAACGACAACCCCCCGATTCTTTCGTGATGCCACAAATTCCGGAGCGTGGCTGCAGAGCTGTCGGAAATGTAGAGGATTTCTATGATAGCGGACGGAAGTGGAGGGAGAGGTTGACATACCACAGCGAGTGGGAGATGCTTGGGACATCACAGGTGCAGGAAAAGAAGGTCTGAAGCGCTGGTTTCTTTATTGGAATTTGTTGTCGCTCTTGATACCCATAATCTTGGATTAATCTATAATGCTTTTATTGGAAACTTCCGACCCCATTTTGTGCCCGCAGACTGATAAGAGGTCGAGGTCTGTCCAACTACAAACGTGGATCCCCGAAGTCGTTTCCGTACAACGTCGCGCCTTGCGATGGGTATCACTCTTGCTTTTGCCTTCTCCGAAGAACAACCCATGGATCTTCGGGTGCGAACGTGACCTAACGTCCTCGTGCCCTTGCCCTGCCCCGACCCCGGCCCCGAGCACGACCACGAGCATTCCCTCTGGTCGGCCGTGACACTGGAGTTCCGCTATCTTCGGCGCTCTCTTCTTCGTCCTCTTCTTCTGCCTCCTCCCCGTCTTCCTCCCCGGAGTCGTCGGAGCCGCTACCTTCCTCATCGTTTTCCTCGTCATCGTCCTCCTCCTCCTCCTCTTCTCCCCCATCTTCCTCTTGTTCCTCCTCCCCTTCATCATCGTCTTCTTCTTCTTCATCATCTCCCTTGCTGTCATCATCCTTCTCGTCGTTTTCATCTTCGGAGTTTGTCGACTCAGCCTTTCCGGGTTTACCAGCCTTCTTTCCCCTTTGAGGCTTTTCTGTCTTGCCCGACTTTCCAGCCTTGTCAGACTTTTCAGGTTTCTCAACCTTTTCGGCCTTTTCAGCCTTAGCCTTGCCGGCAGCCCGCTTCTGACTCCGGGCTACCCTGGCCGACTTGGGCGGCGGTGATGCAGTCTCTGTGTCGCCGTCTTCTGTGTCCTCAACGGTGCTGGCTCGGGTTTTTGTGACAGTGGAGGCGCGCTTTCTCCTTCTGCTGTTGCCGCCGGGCGATGGCGGGGGTGGCGTGAGGTCGAGCTCGGGCGGCGACGTTGGGGGCTCGCTGCCGCTGGCCAGGCGGCGTTCCATCATCAGGTCGTCAAAAGCGTCGTAGGGGAGCGCAAACTCCTTGAAGCGGTCATCGTAGTTGTCGTCCTCTTGCGCATCGTAAAAGTCCTCGCGCTGATCTATCGTCTTAAGGTCATAGAAGGTGCGCAACTTCGTCCAGATGTGCGGGATCCGCGTGTGGGTGAAAAAGTCTGGATCGATGCCGTGATTTCGTAGGTGTTCGCTGATGGCAATCATTCGAAAGTGCTTGTGCATACCTGCGACAGGTGAGGTCAGCTTCAGTGGATTTGTCCAGGAGGTTGTAGAGCTCACCCGCGGGCTTCCACCGGATGACTCCCTTGAAGAGCGATGAGAGTTGATCATCTGTCCACAAATTGTTCGGCCATTCGTCTGAAGAAGGCTTGACTGGAGGCACGGTCGTTGTAGGAGTATCAGCAGCCGGTGTGTCAACATCCATAGCATCTTCGTCGCGAGCTGGCGTTGGCGTTGCGACAGCAGAGACGCTGCTGCGCGCCTTCTTTTTGGGAGGCATCACAATGTGCTCGTGTATGACCGATTCAAATGTTGCGTAAGCCTGGTAGTTCAATTGAATAAACCAAAGTAGCGATACGCAGTAGCTGTGTTGAGGGTCCACTGTCTATGGCTCTGGAAATCAATGCGGAAATGTGAAGCATTTCAGTCCTACTTTAGATTGGAGCTCCAGCAGAGCAGAGCTTCGTCAATTCCTGTGGTAGGGTACCTCTTTAGCCGCCAGGGGCCGAATATGCGGGGATTGGCCACTAAGAATCAGGTACGTGCAGGGGTATCTCCTAGCGGGCTTTACCTGCCCGGGTTGGGAAGTGTGACGCGCCTGTCGCGTCGCGGGGCCCTATACTATCTTGGGCGCTTCCAATCGTGCAGTGTTGGATTGCAACAAACGTCACAAGAGTCTTGAGTGATGCGATGTCACTGATCGCGAGACGCACTCTACATTCATCAGGACCAATGAATTTAATAAATCAGCTCCATCAGCGCAATCATGTTCAAGGACGATGAGTCGGCCAATGTCTTCGCAATTCCAGACTTCTGGGAATCATCCAAATGGATAGAGAACCATCTGCCCCAAGCCGATGCTGGTTTCTTTGCGCTCGACCTAGCAGGTTGGTGTTCCCAAACTGCACTTAATTATCTTGCCTACTGACAACACGCATGACTAGATAGAGAGTCGTCGTCCCTGTATAGCCCTCCCGATTCGAACCCCAGCAAGCTTTTTACGCTTCCTGCAATAGATCCTGTGACGGAGCGGGAGGCACCAACTGCCACAGAGACCCCGAATGCCACTCACGGGGAACCTCTTGTCGAAGAAGATGTCGAAAAGGGCGACTTTTGGCTGTCTCTTGAACAGCCCGCGCGGAACGATCCAGAGTACATGACGTGGGAGAACTTCGAATCTCGCGACACCCTCTCGACAAAACCCCATTTCATATCAGAAGCTGGTCCAGGTGCGTTTGATGCCTTAATAGCGCTGAGGGATGACCCTTTACGTCTGGGAGGCGCCGATTTTACTGTGGTAGAGACAGGTCGTTATCACAATGCGCTGATGGCCCTGGCCCTCGGCCGAGAGTCGGTCTTCTTCTCCTGGCAAAACGAAGCTGAGTCCTTCAAGCCCGCTTTGCCACAGATCAGGATCTCTGCCTACTCCGGCAAGGCTATTCAGGAAGTTCAACGCTCCTGTTTGGAGTGTGGAAACACATACCGCCGACTGCGCAAGTTCGTCGACTCTACCTATCTGAAGAGCCCGACGCCTTGTCGGGTTGCTCTGGCGAGCGCTGTAGACAAGGCCCTCTTGGTCATTCAGAGTAGTGTTGCTTTACACCATCAACACCCGCAGTCGGTCCTTCAAGTCCAGTCCCTCGTCGTCCACACATACACCATTCTGCGTCAGTTCGAGTCTTTGGTATCAAAAATACGACGTGATCACCTGGATGAAGATGTGTTTGACATCGTGTTCCAACAAGCCCAGTCTGCCGAGTACGCCGAGACTCACCTCAGAGACATGATGCGGGAAGTTCTCAGGCGGGTGTCCAGACCTTGGGTTGAGCTGGTTGAGGAGTGGATCGGCACCCGCCGCGAAGTTGGCGTGCCGCTGGGCAAGCATGAGGTGGGCAGGCAGAAGGGCTTCATCAAGGTCGAATCTGAGACCTATATTGACGACTTCGGCGACGAGGTAGACGAAGTTGATTACCGCTTAGACAAAAGGCGGATTCCCAGCTTCATGCCAGAAGACGTGGTGAATTCTCTCTTCGAGGTTGGACGGAATCTCCGTTTCATCAGGTCAACGCACCCCAAACATGCCTTGGCACAAGACCATGTCATCGTTTCCAGCAGACCCCCTATGTTAGAGTGGTTGTTTGACTGGAGCTCTATTGTACAACTTGAAGGTAGGGTCCAGACGTACGAGCGAGCACTACGAGAAGGTGTCAGTACCCATGCTACACAAAAATGGACAGAAGCCGATACACCAGCATGGCCGATGGGTTGTCAAGCAACATACCAACTTCAGCTATTCGGCTTAGATGAGGACCAGTTGCAAAACAAGCTCGTCGCATCCATCCATGACTTTGCCCAACCAATCGCCGACTCAACATCTGAAGACCCGCTCGGAATCATTATCAGGGAGCGCCTATCTGATGTTACAACCGAAGCTGCAAACGCCGGCACCGATTTCACCCCGCATTGGTCGCTACTTCCGGTTCTTTCATTCGGATCGATCATTTCTGCACAATCCAGGGTCATCGGCAGGGAAAGTCTGAAGTTGCTCTTCACCTCTCACAATCTACGTGATCATTTAAAACTGCAAAAAGCGTTCCACCTCCTAGGCAATGGCTTCTTTTGCAGTCGCCTCTCCCATGCACTGTTCGACCCGGATCTCGAAACGGCAGAGAGACAAGCCGGCGTTGCCCGCCAGGGCGGGGTCATGGGACTTCGGCTAAGTGGTAGAGACACTTGGCCCCCGGCCAGTTCGGAACTGCGCCTAGCACTGATGGGGGTTTTGACGGAGAGCTACGACGGCCCTGTTCAAGAAGACGTCAAGCCTCGGGATGGCGAAAAGAAAGAGCTTCCCGGCGATTTGAGCTTTGGCGTTCGAAGCTTATCCAATGAAGAGATCGACAAGTGTATGGACCAAGACGGACTAGAAGCGCTCGACTTTCTTCGACTATCGTATAAGCCTCCGGCCGCATTAGGAGCCATCATCACGCCCATCATATTGGTGCAATATGACCGGATATTCAAGCTGCTGCTTCGAGCGCTTCGGATGCAATACACTATCAACCGCCTCTTCCGAGATGTCACCGCTAGGGAGTCGGGTTGGCACGATGTCGAAGACGTGTCTGTCCGCTTCTGCTTCGAAGCACGTCACTTTGTTTCCAGACTCAGCTCCTATATATTCGACACTGGTATTGAGGTGCCGTGGCAGTCTTTTGAGGGACTGCTTGACAAAGTCGAATCTGATCTTCGCAATGGAGATCATCAAACGCTATCTGGGTCCGTCCTCAGCCCTGACCGTCTGCGGGAACACCATTCCCAAGTACTCGATCGGATCATGCTGGCACTGCTTCTGCGGAAACGGCAGCAGCCCATTCTCAAGTTGCTTGACGACATCTTCCGAGTTATCTTGAAATTTGCCAAATACTCCAGGCTCCGAGCCGATGGGCAAAGGCAGGATGACGCAACAGCAAGGGCCCTCTACAAGAACTTTAAGCGGAATGTCGAGGTGTTTCTGACGGTTTGCAAAGGCTTGAGTGAGAAAGGAGACTATGGAATCATCAATGATGCAGTGGGCCAGGAAGGAAACTCGGGAAGAGTTGGTTCTTTGGAAGGCAACCCCATTGCACAGCTTCTCCTGAAGCTTGACATGTCTGGCTACTACTCCAAAACGTGAGGATTAACAGAAGGCTGGATCAGTCGATAGATTAAAGGATACCCCGGTTGTTGGATAATATAGATGAGAAATATGCGTGACGCTATAAAAAAATCAGTGTACAATCTGTCGCTCTGGAGTTCGGATGACAGACAGCTGGAAGAAAACCCGAGGTTGACAGCGCCATGCGGTATAAGGACGGGAGTGCCCCGCCATACCGTTCCCCGACCCTGGAAGCTGCCCCGCATCGCGTGTCCCACCACCGCCCGCGCTTGTTGATTTACTTTCCTCTATTGGACCAAACAGTAATCTCAGTAAAACAAATCGACACCACAGATTACGACTACCTACAACCAGGACACCACCAGGAACGCATGCAGCATGTCTCGTCCGGGTCCGTCGGCGCGCAATCTGACTCTTACCGAAGAGCTGGAGAAGCTGGAACAGTCCATCACTCTGACCCTGCAAGGTAAATAGGTCTCCTGCTAACAACGGGTGGCCCGTTAGTGTTGGTAAACTGACCTACCGCACAGAGATCGACTCAAACTTTAGCAAGGCACACCGCATCGTCACAACAAGCATCCTACCCATTGTCGAGCAGTATGGCGAGCACTCAAGAAACGTCTGGGATGCATCAAAGGTGCGTCAACAGCCAAATTTTGGTTCGGCCACCGCGGGCTAACTTGACGGGATCAATAGTTCTGGAAGCAATTCTTCGAGGCCTCGGCCAACGTCTCACTCTCCGGGTACGAGGAACTAGCTAACGACGATGACGACAACAACGAGACCGGAGCGACCGAAGAGTCGGCAGTCCAAGACGAAACCAGCGTCGACTACACCCGCACCCCCAGACAGCACGAAGGCGCCGAAGACACGACTCAGGCCTCGGTCGCAGACTCAACCTTCCGCGCCGAAGAGTCGTTGCTAGACGACAACGACTTGACTGGCAGCACGCCGCAACCGCCCAAGACCAAGACGGTCCAGACCCAATTCTCAAGCCTCGAGTCTCCCTACGAGGCGCTCAAGCGCGAGCTCAAGGGCGAGCCGCCTGCGCCGCACGAGGAAGACGAAGACGAGGACCTTGGCTTGGAGGAGGACTCGACGGTGCTCTTCGCGCAGCACACGGCTCGGCTGCCGGATATGTCCATGACGCCACGGTCGGCGTTCGCGCCATCGTCGCGGCAGGAGCAACACAAGGACCCGCTGATGCATCGCATGCTCGACAAGACGTTCCGGATTCAAGCCACACCGCACAAGGGCCCGGCATACCGCGTCTCGCCACTCAAGCGTGACGACAAGGGAAAGGAGAGGGAGAAGGAGGCCTTGCCAGCATGGCGGCAGGGCTCGCCCATGTCGTCGCCAGTCATGGAGATGCCCAAGTTACGCAGCGAGGCCTTTATGTCACCGGCCAAGAGCAACGCACGCCAGCGCCTCGCTGCGGCGACTGCATCCGCGGGCCCGCGTACGCCCGGCGTAAGTGTGCAGACTCCCGGAGCGGCGAGAAAAACCAAGGATGTCTTTGCGACGCGGGGTGACTACGAAGATGACACGACGACGGACATTGGCGGCGGTCTCGCCAAGGACAAGTATGAGATTAACTGGGAGAGCGACAGCGACGAGGACCGTGGCCTGTATGGCGGAATGAGCCCGCCTAAGACGATTCAGTTTGCGCTGGCTCCGTCCAAACTGCTTCAGACACCTGGTAGGTGGACGTTGGTCTGATAACCATGCTGTGCTGTCTTGCTAACGAGAAATGCAGCCCGGGAGGCGAGCAAGCGCATCGTAGATGACATTCTTCTCACGGCCGGGGCCGATCCGGAGAGCTTTGAGGAGTACAGCCCTACCATGGTCAAGATGAACAAGGACATTCTCGATGAAAGCTTCTAGATTGTTGTCTATTTGACTGATATGGTGGAAGACCGAAAAGGGAAGAAAACAGAAGGCACCGTCTTTTCATTCGGGGATGACTGGTCTAGTATCAGCAAATATACCCATGGATCCAGAAATTGAGACGTGATTGCTTTCCTCCATCCAGACTTCTCGGCGGAGGTCCCCCTCCTCTTATTCCAGGTAGCAATATCTATCGCAAAAACGACGCCGTTAATTACGGGCAGTAATTAACTGCTTGTAGCCCTTATGATAATACCCAATTGTACCCTCAGCACCAATTTTAAGGTAGGCCATTCTTTTAAGAGCGTCAACGTTCTCGGCTGAAACATCTCATTTCTTCTATAAGTCCAGACACCTGCTGCGGTTAATACTAAATGAAAAAGCTCCAAAACGCCATCCCAAGAGACAATTGCAACTCATTGAGAAGGGCTAACAGTCATTCCTCACCAGCCTCTTATTCACCCAGGTCTAAACAAAAACTCTATCATCCGGCTTTTTACTATTGCTCCTCTCTCTTTGTTGTTCACAAGTCGTTGCGGACGGGACCAGTCGTGGAGAAGGACTCCGCCTTCTCGGCCTGTGTCTTTGCGTCCTCAGCGGCCCGTTGACGAGCCACGAGAGACGGATGCTTTTTTGAGCTGGAGCGGAATGATGACACGGCGCTCGAGTGGGCGCGGGACGTGCCCTTGAGCAGAGAGACGGAGCTGCCGAAGCTCGAAACCGAGGCGCTGTCAGAGCCGCCGGTAGCATTGCTGCTGGTGCTGGAGGTGGAATCCTGCTGGAGGGCGGAGAGGAGGGCGTGGCTGTGGCGTTTGTCGCCGGTGACGGAGCTGGAGAAAGTGAAGTGCATTCCCGACATGGCTGTGATGGGCGACGTGGTTCTTTGCGTAGGTGTCTAGTGATGGCGGAGGAGATGGTGTAGTCTGCTCAAGAGGCCTGTATGTGATTGTGTAATAAGGGTTTTATGTGATTGGCGGTATTTCTTGTTGATCTGAGTGGTGATGCTGTTGGTGAGGATCCAAAACTAAGCCTGAGGACGAGATGGAGATGCCTCTACTTATACAAACCTGACACTCTCATCGAAGGCTACATGATGTAACTCCCTTGCGCGGCTTACACCGACACTCTCGACCATGGATCCGAAACCCGTCACCATCAAGCACATTGTCGCGTCTATGACTAGGCACACTGTGCAAGACATTCCGCGTTCCATGGGTTACCGGTCGATGGGGAGTCAGGGCCTGAAGGAGAGGGTGGTGAGGGGGTAAGCTTGCGAACGGCCGCCAGTCCTTGGAGGAGTTCTGCCGCGTGTCGTGGACAAATGCCGAGCCGGTAGGTACACCGCACAATAAAAAAGGCCATGGATGTTGGTAATGTTGGTGGCGCGGGTCACCGCACACAATATCTGCGTCTCTCATTTGTTTGCGACGGCGCCTCGTGGACATAGACAGCGCCCAGTATGTGTAGACAACACCCTTGCCTGCATGAGGCGTCTTACAGGGTCTATGTAAGCTACGCAGGTCGCAGGCAAACGCGAGTCACAGGTTGCCGTGCTTGCTTCGGCCACGACTGGAAGAGACGCCAGAATTGAAGAACAAGGTGTAAGTGAGTGAGCATGGTGAACAAGACGCGCCCAGTAAGCACTATAAAATGCGTAAGGCCATGATGTGGCATACATACACCAATGCGAATGATGACTGATTTGGGGTGTCTGCCTGGGAAAGAGCCTTGGGCTTCTCACATTGACTGGCAAGTCTGCCTACGCCGCTTGTGGAGGTTGAAGGCCTATCCTATGCCCGCTTGTTCCCAGTCTGCTCGACTGTTTTGGTCTTGATGGTTGTCTATTATGATATCTGGCACTCAGGCAGCACTGGGGTAAAAGGTACGCTTGCAAAATCTTGTCGTTGATTTACCGCGTACCATCAATACAGACGGAAGATGCGGTCAGTGTGGAAAATGCAATCGGGGTGATGCAGCCCGAAGAGAGTGTGACTGCCGGGTGCTCTGCGTGGCCTATTCCCTTTAGATTTCCTTTGTTCTTCTTGTTATCTTTTTCTTGTGAGGTCTTTGTTCGTTGGCAAACACCCAGAACCCCGTTGGCCTTTTGCTTTCCCCTCCTCGAATTGACCGTGGAATGCGACAGTGATACTGCATACAGCCTTGTCTGACAATGCTTGTGTTGAGACATCTGGCCTTCATGAGCAAGCCTTCTGCAATGCATCCCGATGACAGTCTTCGCTGCATCGCTGGGCCTTGTGGGCCTGACTGACGAAAGCTTGGTTATCAGATACATAGACCGGCGACGAATCGCCTGTCGGTCCGGAAACTTGTCCGAGGCCAGCCCGAACCGGGTGGCTGACGCCTGTCGGGCCTCGCGGTTAGTTAGTTGCGGCCAACTTGAAGCTGCTACTGCCGCTATACATGACGACACGACACGCAATCTGCCAAACGCTTCGTTGCCATGGCCGCGTCGCGCCGGCTTTTTTCCTCCTTTGAGACGTGCATAACCGCCTCCATGAGTTACTCGCTTTACCTCAAAGTAAAAAGAATCTTCTTCTAGGTTTACTTCGCTCCCCAACACTGTATATATAGCTCAGTTCAGCAGCTTACGACTGCTGTACCTCTTCGATTGCGCCTAAGCTGAATATTCCCAACAAAGAGGGTTCGTTGTTGTCACAGCACGCCCGTCTCTTCTACTACTCCCCGCCGAGCCCAGCCTTGGCAGGGCTTGAGGAGCCCGGGAGGAGATCAACGCAGAAGCTTGGCTCTAACACCAACGGCTACAAGGCTTACGCCGTGTGACCGCACGTGTAGATGGAATGAAGTGGCTCTTGGACTGCTGCTTGTTGAGGATGTACGGGCACCAGGCTTCAGGAATGGCCGGCTCAGACTGACAAGAGATAAACAATACTCTGTGGTCGAGACAGCCCGTGGGGTTAGAATCCAGACAAAAGATCAAGCCATCCAGAACCGATCCGTCGCGATGCCGAAACCTCATCACTTTCCTTAATATGATGGGAAAAGGCGTACCACTCGATTCGGAAGCTCATTGACGGATGGCTAACAAAGGGCATAAGACAGACGCCTCGCTCACAAAGACATTGTAACTCGGCGATGCAGTATTGACCAGCGGGCTGGGTGGCAGGCTTCGATGCAGATTTGAGTTGGAACGACTGCATCGAGGAAGTGATGGGCGACGCCGGGATGGGTCGGGACGAACGAGTAATATCCTTGGACAAGGAAAAAAGCAAACCACCGGAAGGATTGGCTCGCAGCTTTGTGGCAGCGATGCACCTTGTGTCCCGCCACAATAGAAATTGTGGTCTGTGTAAACTACTTTCAATGACAGGCACTCTCCACAAACCTTAATCAGAGCCTCGACGTGGGTAAGGAGAGCGTCATGACGTTTCTAGAAGGCAAGATACGGTACTTACGTGGGTGTCTACACTAGGTAGTTAAGTAGTGATATCGAATGCTTACCTACCTAGGGGGAGCTGTAAAGGCGGTGAACCCATATACCCCGCCGTGCCTGCACCAAGGCAGAAAGGGCTGCTTATCAAAGCCAACAGTTTATCGAAGAAAGAACACCTCTCGTGTTCGTTTAAGGCATCCATCGAGGGCTGTGGTCGGGAAATGGGGCGGTCGGGAGATCGGACGACGTAATTGGCCAGGATTACACAAGTCAGGGGTAAGTAGCTACAGTGGCTGGTAGATTGGCCAATAGGGAAGCTCCTTAGGCATGCCACCACGATGGGATCGTCATTTGCACGGGTACAGGTAGAATGCCAGAGCAATTTGGTCGGCGGCCAGAGACTAACCCTATTTAGAAGGCACTGCCACCACCGCCACTTCCACCGCCACTACAACCACCACCCTTTTTGCCGTAAATCCACTATCGCTAACAGACGCCTACGTTGCCTAAGATTAAGCCCTTATATCTAACCTTTAAAAAGTACTAGCAACACATATAAACTTACTATTATTTAAGGGTATTACTCTTTATTTTTTATTAAACAGGTCATATAATATAGTAGATTTTTAAATTAATTGCAGCTGTTGCCTCTATTTTGCCTTGACTTTAAATTGCTTAAATCTGAGGAGTTTTTAACTTTATGTAACTTTCTAATTCCTAGCCTTGTCATTGGTCAGTCAAGTCGGTATATCGTTTTTGCTGGCGCTGACATAATATATTCCGAAATAGGCTTAACCCACTGGCCGCCGACCAAATTGCTCTGGCATTCTACCTGTACCCATTTGCACAACTCGGTTGCTCCAGCCGACGATACTGCGTCGTGGACTGGTCAAGTCACTGACAGACGCCACTGAATAACCCTAGGTAGGTTGGCAAAGTAGACAGCCGTGCACGGTACATCTACCTACTTGCCCTGCTCAACTCACCTACCGGTAGTTGGCCTACTCTGGTTCCTTTGCCTGGCTCTGCGATATGGGTTAGGGGACACAGGGTGACACTGCCAGCTACCTAGGTAATTGCATAGCCCATTTTCGATGTGTACACTGCGGGAATTTATCTGCCCAGGTAAACGGGGAAAAAAGGCAAAGGCAGCTCCAATCTCGCGTGTCTGGTGTGCGTGCGTGGTAGAGTACGCCAGATTCAGGGTCAACCCTGTGGACCGAACCCACGTCTCTACTTACATCGTACCTAGGTTGGTATTTGTAGTTTATGTACCTGTACTGTTACACTGTTCGGACTTTCGCTTCAACAATGGCGTCCGAGAGGTCGGGCGGGCCTATTTGGACAGCCGATGCCGTGCCACTAGCCAAACGAACGGTGCAGGGCCGGGGATTAAACGGGCAGGTTTTTGCCCTTAGATGGTGTTGATTAATGTGCTGCCAGCTGCACATGGGGAATGCGAATTGCAGCCCCCCCTTCCCGTCCTGCTAAACGAAACGAAGCAGAGACTAGTCAAGCCCAACAAAATCGGAACACTAGCCCCATCGCGGCCAGCAGATGGATAGTGCATGTATCCGCACTTAGCTTTTTCTGGCGCCGAGATGTCGAGGACAACAAGGGTGGTGGGACTTTTGCTCATTCTGGAAAAAAAGACACTGCACGCGATGGGCATATGTAGTACTTCCGGCTACCCACCATCCGGTCGTTCCTAGGACTTGTGAACCGGTGGTGCCGCCCTGGCAATAGGGGCCTGGCACACAACAGCAGCAGTAACACATGGCATGAACCCCCCCCCCCCCCCCCCTGTGATGGTATTGGAACTAGAGGAAAGAAAAATTCAGAATACCCACCACACCTTGGCTTGGACGGGAGATACGAAACCCACATTTCCATCACAGACAGTTTGGTCGCGTTCTTCTACTCTCGGTCGCAAGTTGGCGTACAGAACTCGCCCACACAGGCCGTCGTTGCTTTACTGTAGCAAAACGCTGGCTCTGTCAATACACTCGCTCAGGTACATAAAGAAGGTGTTAAAAAAGGGGGGGGGGCGTGGGGTGCCAGGGAAGTAGGTAGGAAGCGGAGAGAGGTACAGGTACTTCGTGCATCCCATCAGATTTCACCTGCCCATTTGCTGCTGGCCTACCGTGACAAACAACTTTGTTCGGGTATCCACCCACTCTCATGCTCCCCGGCTCATGTCCGTCCGTCGAGGGTCGTCAGGTCCCTTCTTTAATCTTTCGAAATATCTCCTTTCCTCCCACATCTCTCTCCCCAGTGCTCCTATACAACCTCCACCGAGAGCGTTGCTCAAGTCCACCAACCTCGCACGGCATTCCCATCGTCGCCTGCGCTCTTATTTCCAAGAACCTGGACGAGCGCGAATCCAGTCTGTCCTGCGCTGCATCTGAGTATCCGACCATCTTTCACGCCGCCTTGGTGTTTCCTCACCTGCCGGCCTGTCTTTCGAACCACCGCCTCCCCGACCTCAACATCCCAAGCCGACTACGATGGATTCCAACGCGACCGCCTTCACCTCGGTGTTGGCTAATGCCAAGCTGGGCAACGTCAACATCCCCCCTCAGGTCGACTACATCATCGATAAGGTGGCCAACGCCAGCGGCTGGACGATTCTCTTCACCTTGCTGGCGCTCGCTGTCGCATACGACCAGAGTAAGTGATGCGCCCCTGTCCGGCCTCAACTATAGAGCAGCATCTGACAAGGCGTAGTCAGCTACATCACCTCCAAGGGCCCCATTGCCGGACCTACCTTCAAGATGCCTTTCATTGGTCCCTTCTTGGAGTCCGTAAACCCCAAATTCTCAGAGTACAAGGCCAAGTGGGCCAGCGGTCCTCTCAGCTGTGTCTCCGTCTTCCACAAGTGAGCGCATTCCGTGACACCTCTTTGTTGGTGATGGTCTAACATCCGTAGGTTCGTTGTCATCGCATCGACTCGTGACATGGCTCGCAAGGTCTTCAACTCGCCCGGCTACGTCAAGCCTTGCGTTGTTGACGTTGCTCACAAGCTCCTGGGCCCGACCAACTGGGTTTTCCTCGATGGCAAGCCGCACGTCGACTTCCGCAAGGGTCTCAACGGTCTCTTCACCCGCCAGGCCCTCGCTTCCTACTTGCCTGGCCAGGAGGGCGTGTACAAGCAGTACTTCCAGGAGTTTCTCCAGACCACCAAGAACGCCGGTGGAAAGCCTGTTCCCTTCATGCCTTGTTTCCGCGACCTCATGACGGCCGTCTCGTGTCGCACCTTTGTCGGCCACTACATCTCGGACGAGGCCGTTCGCAAAATCTCCGCCGACTACTTCCTCATCACCGAAGCTCTCGAGCTCGTCAACTTCCCTGTCATCCTGCCCTTCACCAAGCCCTGGTACGGAAAGAAGGCCTCCGATATGGTCATCGGCGAGTTCGCCAAGTGTGCTGCCAAGAGCAAGGTTCGCATGGCTGCCGGAGGCGAAATAACCTGCATCATGGATGGTTGGGTCAAGTCCATTGTCGATTCTCAGAGGTGGCGTGAGGCCGAGGCCAGCGGCTCGACTGAGGGTTTGGTGAAGCCCGTTCCCCTCCTCCGTGAATTCTCCGATTACGAGATCGCTCAGACCGTCTTCACTTTCCTATTTGCCTCCCAGGATGCTACCAGCAGTGCCGCTACTTGGCTGTTCCAGACCATGGCCCAGCGCCCGGACGTCCTCGACCGCGTTCGCGAGGAGAACATGAAGGTCCGCAACGGAAACCGCCACGCCGAGTTGAACATGGACCAGCTCGAGTCTTTGACTTACACTCGTGCTGTCGTCCGCGAGCTGCTTCGCTACCGCCCTCCTGTCATCATGGTGCCTTATGTCGTCAAGAAGCCTTTCCCCATTACCCCTGAATACACTGTCCCCAAAGGTAAGTCACTCGAGATTGCTCAGTAGTCGCATGGGCTTTTGCTAACGTGATTCCAGGCGCCATGGTTATCCCCACCGTCTACCCTTCTCTTCGTGATCCCGAGGTCTACGACCGTCCCGACGAATTCGATCCCGAGCGTTACTACACCGGCGATGCGGAGGAAAAGGGTGCCAAGAACTTCCTCGTTTTCGGAACAGGCCCTCACTACTGCCTCGGCCAGACGTACGCTCAGCTGAACCTGGCTCTGATGGTTGGCAAAGCCTCAGTCATGATGGACTGGGTTCACCACCCGACGCCCAAGTCCGAGGAGATCAAGGTGTTCGCGACGATTTTCCCCATGGTATGTCCCTGGCGTTGTTCCCGAAAGAGGTGTGACATCAAATACTGACAGAACGCAGGATGACTGCCCTCTTACTTTCACGGAGCGTGTGGCATAGGTCCTTTATACGCCTGGCCGGAGGCCATGCGCTGGCATTTTCTGCCCAATTGGCGAGTCAGGCCTAGTCGGCTGATTCTGGAGGATCACCGCTAGTGCTCCTGTGGATGTCAGACGCCACATGTGGGGGGGGGGGGGGGGCTTTCGCAACAGAGGCTTATAGATTTCGAGTCGAGGTTGGTTGAGGCCAACTCTCTAGACTATAACTTGTAATGAACGTTTGCATGCACATAATTATATGAGGGTAATGGATGGGTGCCCTAGAGAGGTGTACAAAAGCCTACAATCTAGGTGGCCTCGGGGGTCGTGACCTCGGGACGAGGACATTGGGTAAACGGCCGATTCAAACGATGCTGGGTAATGATAGACTCAGTTTAGCACCAATGGTAGACCAGCTTAAGGATTTCTATTGAAGTAGTCTTTGGCGAAAGTAGTTCTTTTACACAGGAGACGACATGTTCGTCGGCACTGGGGGGGGGCTTAGATGACCTTTGTTGTCCAAATTGTTCTTGCCGCGAAGACGGGAAACGCCATCCTGCCAAGGTCACCGGTACGCGGTTTACAAGTGGTACTAATAGCACAAAGGAGATATCCGTGCGATCTCAGCGGCGGCGGGTTGTGACCCGCTTTTATTGGCCAAAAGCCCGCTGGAGCTCTCCCCGTCTAGGTACAACTTCGAAGCTCCAAGTCCCAAGCTCCAAGCCGGCCGGTGCCTTCACAACGTTGTCCACCACACTTTCCGAACCTACCAGTCTTGACGTCGGTGAGACGATTAATCAGGACCACAAAAGGCAAGAGGAGAAACCATGTCTTCCATAACGCGAGTGTGCAGTAATGCGCTCCGCGCGGGTTGCTGCCGCGTCGCGGCGCCGGCACCGGTCGCGGCCTCGAGACGGTGCTTTGCTGTTGCTGCGGCGTCGGCGTCGTCGTCCAGGTTTGGAACCACTGCGACTCGTGTAACGATGGCAGTCGCCTGCCGGCTGGGGAGCGTGCCCGTCGCGGTACCGAGGCACTTCTCTTCCAAGGCGGGCGGGCACCACGAGATCGCAGCGAACGGCAGCAAGCTCTGGACATACGAGCAGATGGCCGAGCTGGCCAAGGACCCCAAGGGCGTCGTGATTGTCGGTACGTCACTCCCGATTCCCCGACCTACGGCTCAGCCCGCCTGCCTGCTCCTCTGAGCCCTCCCCCACACTCTCTCCTTTTTCCTTTTCTTTCTTGTTGTCCCTTTTCTCATGCTAACGACGCCGCCGCCTCCCGGCTACAGACTCACGCGAGCCGGGCGAGCTCGAGCAGACCGGGCGCATACCCTCCGCCATCAATGTGCCCGTCTCGACGGCTCCCGAGAGCTTCCACATCTCCGAGGAGGATTTCGAGGAGCGGTACGGCTTCCCGCGACCCGGAAAGGACACGGAGCTCGTATTCTACTGCAAGGCTGGCGTGCGGAGCCGCGCGGCAGCCGCGCTGGCCAAGGACGCCGGGTGGACCAAGGTCGGGGAGTACCCCGGCAGCTTCATGGACTGGGAGAAGCACGGCGGCGAGGTCGAGAGGGGCGGCAAGGGACCTGGGCAGAGGTGAGACCGGCTTTTCCTTTGGTGGCAGAGGCGACCAGAGGATGGATGGTCGACAGTTTGGAGCAGGGGCGGGCAAGAGCCAAAGTGTGATAGATAGAGAGTTAGGCCATTTTCTGTGTCACGACGCAGGGTGGACGGACAATGCATTGAATCATAACATTCGTTGTACAGTAATGGTATATGGAAAGCCCCTTCCGCTCCGGCGGATAACACAACAAGTTCCGTTACCAAAGTCCAGAACCCAGCGGACCAACTGCTCACTTGCTTGACTCCTCTAGAGACTCCGAACCCGCTTTTTCCTTTCTTGCCGTGAGAAATGCGCGTACTTGGCGAATCAAAAGAAGGCCAACTGGGGAGGCTGACCGTCAGCCGGGGCCGCCGCCGCGGGGTTCTTGCTTGCGACGGGGCTGCCGTGGGCGAAGAAGAGGATTTTGATGGCGAGGGACAGGCCGAGGTGGAGGGCAACGACGACGACGAGCAGGATCTTGCTCGTCTGATGGTCGGTAGCGCTCAGCACGGGGTAGAGGTTGCGTAGGAGGAAGGCGACGGAGACGCCGCAGCCGACGGCGACGAAGACCCAGTTGAGGATGTTGATGGGCGACCAACTTATGAGGGCGACGGGGATCCAGATGAGGTTGGCATAGCCGTAGAGCGCCCACTGCTCAAGGAGGTTGGCTGATTCGGAGCCGAAGTAGCGCAGTGCGAGGTAGAGGGCCATGGGGACGAAGAGGGTGTAGCCGTAGATGAGGCCAGCGGCGCCTAGGAAGCGTACGCGTTAGCCCGTTCCTCAACACAAAAGGCCAGTTTCCACACCCGGGCCACTTACCGCTCAGAAGCTTGAAGTCATAGGCAAACGGACTCGTGCCGTTGCTCGCGAGGTACTGGCTGATGGTGCCACCGAGGAAGAGGATCAGAACGACGGTAGTCGCGATCCAGAAGGGCCCGTACAGGTCCGGGTTGCCTTCGAGGACATCGAGGAAGTTAGCGCGCGGGTAGAGCGCGGCCCAGCAGCGCGAGAGGACAGCAGAGGTGTCGACGTCAAAATACTGGGCGTAGAAGTTGATGCTCCAGAGAAAGCGCTTCGAGGACCCGGACGACGCCGTCACGGGCGGAGGCAGCCCCGACGCGGGCGGCTTGCGGGCCCCCGGCGCGGAGTCTTGGAAGTTGGAGCTGTGGAATTCGAGGTCGTCTTGGAGATCGGTGTGGCCGAGGTCGCCCTGCAAAGTATACCTCAGTTAGTTTGGCCGCCGGGTAGGCAGCTAGAGCAAGGTGCTTCTACTGAAGGGAGCTTCCTACCTCATCGTCGACGTCGACGACGGCGTCGTAACCTGAACCGGACCGTGACATGGCTTCTGCTTGAAGCTTAGGTTTGTGGTCGTTTTTGGTTTTGGTTGGAGACAATCTGCTTCTGCGGGCTCGTCAATATGCAGCTGCTCGTGCTCGGTTCCTCGTCGATGTAGGTGGTTCGTGAGAATATCTATGTCCAGATGGCCGATACGTGTACCTGAAGCTCGGACGGGACAAGGTGTCGTAATCCCACATATGCACTTTGGCCCTGTACGCACGTAGCTCCCTTGCCAAAAGCGCCCCCACTATTAAACTCAGCCCCTGCGGGAGGTGCTGCACTGCAATAATGCGGATGACTGGGAATTTCACTTTATGTAACACGCACAAGGCCACTTTAGTGAGGTGATAAGATCGCAACCTTGGCACGTTTGATTAGATGAGAGGCAACGGGAGCTCACTTGCGGCAAGGAGACGTCAATTTGGGTATGAGGCTCTGTATTTCGTTACGGTGCTGATATTCCACTATAGTGAAATAGAGCATAGTGAGGCAGGTCAGTCGCCATCCCGCATCCATCATAGTACGTCTCTCATGCCCAGTAGCATCTTCAATATGCTGCACTCAGGACGCCCAGGCGCGCTCTCTCGCCAAACGATTTTTTTCCCTCTTGTTTTCCAGCCTCCCGACATCAAATTCTAAGTGATGCAGGACAAAGGCGGCAGTCCCGGGGTTTGTGCTTTTCCTTATTTTCCCGTCTTGAAGTTTTGAGGTAGGAGGGCGACCAATTCAGTTTTTTTATTCGTAGAACTGCTTGCCGATGGAATGTAATGCTACCACAAAGCCCAGGAAAATTCGTATCCCTGCCATCCTCTCCAGAATGCCAGAACCCGTGACGCCGCAAACCGTGATAAATCGTCTATTTGAGCTTCTTCTTGGGGCGGAGCTGGTTGGTGTGACCGCACTTGCGCTTACGGCAGTTGGTCGCACGGGGGGGGAGACGAGCCTGGAAGTGGATTGTTAGATTCTGGTGCGGTGTGCGCGCGACCACCGTCGGTTCGTGGGAAGCGGCCACTTACGTAGCACTTGCGGCAGATCATCTTGTCGCAGTTGAACTTGGAGGCAAGAGCCTTGAGCGAAGGCTCGATGATACCACCACGAAGGCGGAGGACCAGGTGGAGGGTGGACTCCTGTTTGGCGTCAGTTTCCGTTCTTTCTTCCCCGTGTATAGCCCCATTGTCTTCGGGTCCCCGACATCTCCTGTCTCTTGCCATCTAAATCTGCAAAGCACAAAAAGCCCACTGACCTTCTGAATGTTGTAGTCGGAGAGGGTACGACCATCCTCGAGCTGCTTGCCTGCGAAGATCAAGCGCTGCTGGTCGGGGGGGATGCCCTCCTTGTCCTGGATCTTGGACTTGACATTGTCGATCGTGTCCGAGGACTCGACCTCAAGGGTAATGGTCTTACCCGTCAGGGTCTTCACGAAACTGTAACCATTATCGTCAGCATCTCGGCGTCTTCGGATTATCGTCGCGTAGGAAGGCTGGAAAAGCCGGTGGCACGGGCGGGGGATTGGAGTCGGGGGCTGCTCACATCTGCACTGCAAGTCAAAAGTTGTTAGCATCGCTATATCAGCAAGTGATAAACGACAACGCCCCGCATGACGCCGTCAACGAGGAGGGGGATTCTCTCATCACTTACTTTTGCCGACGTCCGTGAACTGGCTGTTGTTACCGAAGAGTTCTGGTGATCGCGGCAAAGAATTGGTGGGGCGATGCTTGAGAACGGTGTTCAAGCAGCAAATGCCAGAAGAGAAATCGCAAGCCCTAATTAGGGCACGCAGTTGGTTGTGCTGGTCCGAGCGTCCGAACGGTGCGGAACTGGCCGTCCAGGCTCACAGAGGCAGGCACCCTGTGGGAATGGCACTCATCGCCTCTAACGGCACCCGCCCCGCACCCGTCACTTCACTGGGAGCCCTGTAGGATTGATTGCGACGACTTCACACTTGCGAGATAGTCAAGCTTCGGGTGAGTAGGAGAGGTGGTTGCTTCTAACGTGTAGCATATACATGAATATTTTAGAGTCTCTTCAAGACTCTCTGCTAAGGATGTTTATTACCGGGTATCATTGCATTTCGACAAATTCCTAATTCATACACTACTATGCAAACTTGCACGTTGAACATGTAGGTCTATGAGCTCTGAAGAAACCTATCGCAACGACCTTGCTCGTCTGCAATGCATTATAGGCCTGTAGAAGTTGGCTGCTCGGTCTCTGAGTCAACGTTCACGACTGACCGACATCTCTCGCGGCGTTCACTTGCCGCCCGACGTTGCTCCCTTTGCCAGATTACGATGTGCGCCTCGAGCATGTTGACTGCTCGCACCAGCATTGGAACTGACAACCCTGCCAGTTGGGCGGCTAATTTGAAGAAGTCTCTTCCTGCAGGTGGCAAGTCTTCTTCAGACTTGTAGGAGTAGTAAATGCCCTTTTGCGGGCCTCTCTCTCTTTGCCCTGGTTGGCCGACCGGATCGACAAACGATGCAGCTTGGGCTTGAATGGCGCGCAGCCTCCCAACCGTCTCATCTTCCGGGGTCTCAGACAGGGCCTGCTTGGAAGGCTGCTCCTCGACGGGAAAGTACTTCGCAAGCATTGTTTCCTCTGCTAGGTAAAGGTTAGTTCCTGAGCGGATCGGCAATACTTTGCGGATGTTTACCTTGCGGATCGGTAAGGAGTGACAGATGTGCAAAATAATCATCGAGCTCTGCCGGCCCCATTGACAATATTTGTGACGCCGTGACATCTGTGTAGTCCACTCTCATTTGAACCAAGCCTGTACTCAAAGCTGGCGCCATGATCGTCCTCCACTTTTCCCAGTCGAGTCTCGGCACTAGGAAGCTATTCTCGTCATGATTGGAAGCTGTACAGTTCTCAAAAGGGAAACAGTGAATGGTCGCGAGAACGATAACGGCAACTAGAAGAACTTCTGGCTGGTGTATGAGCCGGATTCGAGTCTTCTCCAGAGGGAATCCGAAGGTGAGATTGGCTATCGGTGGTATTCTACGAGCAATGGCGATCATCTCAACTGCTTGCTATCAGTCTGTGGGCGCGTTCAGTAAGGATAGGGGCCTTACCAGGCAAGCCTAGCTCACGGACATACTGCAATGTCATAAGAACGTCGTTGAGTGGGGGGAAGACCATGTTGTAGTTAACATGATACGATAAAGCAAGGTTCAAAACTGAAGCATGAAGCTCGCCGTGGTCGAACGCAGCTAAGCGTGCTGCCTTTAGCGGGTTTGTGTACGACGGTGGTAGTCTGTCGCGCATCTCTTGAGGCAGTTGCCAGTACTGTTGATTATTAGTTCAAGCACGCCGAAGCAACGGAGATCTTACTACATACAGCTTCTCTGTAAGGAATGCTTCCTGCTCTTACCCACCTGGCAATATCCCCAATCCGCGTCGGTATTCTGAGAAGCACGCATCCCAGGATACATAGACCCAAGGTATCCATCACCCGCGGCGCTGGCCACTCGCGGCCGTCTTCAGCAGCCCAGCTTTGTGCCCGCTTGGTCCGCGCATGAGCTGGCTCATCTAGCATGAGGTCGAGCTGTGAGCTGAAGAGTGAGGGCTCCCCCTCCGAGGCCGAATCGTCGTGGACGACAGTCGGAGCTCTGCAGGTCCGAAGATCCCAAAGGTCACGAACTACCGTTTCCAGTTCGGCCGCATGACCTTTTTTCGTGACCAGCCAGAGAATCTGCTCTCTCAGTACAAGCTGGAGGCATTCGAGATACAAGTCCCGCGCCTGCTGGCCTGAAAGCACACGCTTTACACGCTCCTTGACCTGTTTTTCTTTGCGAGAAACACGACCTTTCTGGCCAAAGTCCTCGTCGCCAAGGTCAAATTCTACATAGCCCTGTGACTATGCGTTAGGTGCTTTCACATCGAGAAGCGCGTAACATGGTTGGACAAACCTGAAGTTGATGGCCTTCCTTGGCACAGTACCTTAGACCGTTCTCGAGGTACCACTTGCGAGAACCGCAAAATTCGCAACGTTCTCCCTTGGGAAATTTGTGAAGCTCCCGTTCAGGTGCCATGGCGAGAAAGTGTCCGATTCGGGTGCCAGGGGTTTACATTAAAGTTGATGTTGAGAAGAATCTCCACCGTGTTGGTGAACTTTCGGACAGTGTACGCGACTTTACCCGCCCAGGTTCCGGTCAATGTTAGGCAGGCGAAACCCAGCATCTTGTTTTGTGTACCTAACACAAGATTTCAAAGATTATATCCATGGGCCAGTTGACGAGTTTGCAACTTCAGGTGTCAAAAGAAATATTGTGAAACAAGGTGGCTCAGCATTTGAAAATACATATATTGCATGCCGGCTATTTTTTCGCACAAACGATGGACCATTTCCCCCTTCAGAAACGAAGGTTCAGTCTAGCTGCGTAACTACCTGTGAACTTGTAGATACCGACTACCTTTCTTGAATGGGCGCCATTTAATCCAGGCTATAATTACTCACCAAACATCACACCTGATATCAGTACCAGTCCAGTCGAATTCAGTTAGTCTCGAGGCATCATAGTAAGCGTCACGTATGAATATGCACTGCGCTTCGGTGCTTCCACAAGTATGCACAACAAGTATGAACGAAAAACAGAGACGGCGTGGTGGGGAAGTGTACCGCTTTTCCATCGGACAGATCTGCTGCCACCCACGAGGCTCTCCCATTTTGTTTTCACCTATCCCATTGCTAGTCTGATCGTCGTAAGAGTCTGTGAAACAGACAAAAACAAAGGAAAAAAAGCCGTGCGACATGTCTTGCAATTGTCAAGTTCGCGTACCCAGTATCAAGTCCTGTCCAGATTTGAACTTTTACGCAACAACTGACGGGGATACCGTTCAGTTTTTTTCCGACGCGCCAAGAAATATCGCAAGAAATGTCACCAGTCTGCCAACATCTGCCAGCAAGGCCGCACGAAATAAGCGCTTGTGGAAGTCATTGTCTGATGATGTAGTTGATTGTAGCAGCGCTTAGCCCTGCTTGGGGGCCTCCTTGGCCTCAACGGCGGCCTCCTCACCCATAGCGGTAAGAATGACGACGTCTGCGATTTGAGGTTAGTTATGTTCCAGAGCCTGCTGTCGTGCGGGGTTTGGCAAGTCTCACTGGTGTCCTTCTCTTCAATCTTGAAGAGCCTGTTGATCTTCTCGCCAACCTCACCGTCAGGAACACGGACGTCGTCCTTGAGGTCACCGTCGTCGTTCATGAGGGACAGGAAGCCATCGTCGGAGATGTCGACCTATTGCGGTAGCTTATTAGCGGGCCGCAAAAGTTTCTCGAGGTTGGGGGTTTGGCCATGACTTACGAGCTGGAACTCCTTGCGGGAGACATTGGGAACGTCCATGTTGTGGGTGGAAGGAGAGAGATCCTCAAGCTTCTTGCCGGTGAAGATGTCGATGGCGACCAAGTGAACCTTGGCGTGACCGTGCTTGCCAGTCTTGGAGGTAGACATGTCGACGATCTTGCAGGGGCGGCCCTTGATGACGACGTGACCGTTCTTGCGAAGGGCAGAGCACTGCATGGGGAAGGTGAGAGACGCACCGGCGTCGGTGGACTCGAAGGTCATCTCATGCTGTTGCACCGTCACGTTAGCGATATGTAGCTCCCCAGGACATGTGCATGCATCAACATGGCGGCAATGTAGTTCGAGACGTAGAGATGGGTTCGATTCGTTGGTCGTATCTAATGTTCGATTGGGTTGCATGTGCGTTTATTTGTGATGCGCAGAGCCGTGGTGCGTCGAGATGCCCGCGGGGCCCTCGCAGACTGTGGGTGCGGGGTGGTTTTTCGCCCAGACCCAAGCAACGGGCATGGCATCGCATGCGACGACGGCGGATGGCGGGCAACGAGAGGGGAAGCATAGCTATCGCAAGGAACTTACCTGGGCGTCGTCGTTGGACATTTTGAAGGATTGACTGGAAGATGTCTATAAAAAATCGAAGGGGAAGATGTCGACAGGCAAAAAGGGGAATTACCCAGCAAAAGACGGCTGCTATGTTTTTGAGGGGGAGAGTTGTGAAAGGAAGAGAGCGGGCAGAGGGGGGGAATGGAGGGGAAAAAAGAAGCGAGGCGGGAGTAGATAATTTTTTCCCTGGTTTTATTATTGGGTTTTTTCGCTCCCAGGCCCAGATTCGCGCCCCTCCCTGGCCTCTCAGGCTTCGGCGGGCACTGCGACAGGGTGCACTTTGACAGTGCAAAAAAGGTGGGGTGTGGGCTCGGGTTTTTTTTTCCTTCTCTTCCTTTTCTTCTGCCTGCCACCTGCCCGCCCTTTTTGGGTAAGTTACTTGGCCGTCCCTATCACTCACTGCGGGAGTAGTACCTTCGTCGCTGGGCTGGTCGTCCAGGCCAGAGGTGCCCGCCTATAATGTGATGCCGCCAGGCTATGGACCGCCTGTAATTTGCGCCCTATCTAGGTACATCCTCTATATTAAACCGAAGCTTTGTCTCTTTAGAGACCCAACAGGTCGAGGCGAGGCGAGTGGATGGGGCCCGTAGTAACAGCCGCTAAATTGGGTCAAATTCTCGCCGAGATGGTCGGTCAACTGTCCTGACACTTTCTCTATACCTTCTGCTTTGTTGTTTCGGAAGGTATTGGAACGGGAAGCCGAATTCCAATGGTGTGTGCGCCTGGATTCCGACTGAGAATGAAGCTCTGGAGATGCCCTACTTTATACGTGAGGTACCACGGCATCCGGCACGGTTCATCTCGATAGGCAATCACGCATTTCTAAGGACCTCCGGTAACCCGACCTCCCGCTGCTCAGCTCAGCTCAGCTCAGCCGAGGTTAGATGCCCTTAGAAACCGCGTAGGAGCTCTCCTCCGAGACAATTCGAGCAGTCAGAGGTAAGGGTACCTTGGAGGTGTTACGGATTCTGTACAACATGTTGCAGTCTCCCTCCCGCCCAACGTCGGATGCATCAATGGTCTGTTATGTGCTCTGCCACTGTCACTCCACATTCGAAGGAGATGCCCCGCACGTTTGCTTGCTGCACCGGCCCTCAAAAATGCTGCCCCGCAGTTATTCGACCCTCCCCTACCCCTGCCGCGCCACACGAGAGCTCCGGCAAGTCGGTGCTCAATGTGGCTGATGAGCTCTGCTGTCAACTACCCAATCAGAACACATCGCTCTCCTAAGGTCATCCAGCCTTGTCTGCTGTCTACTAGCCTTTCTCTCAAGTGTACGAAGTACATACCTACCTATCTCCCAGTAAGACAGCTTGTGGGTAGATCTACAGTTTCCGCCTTCCGTCTAGATCACAAACTCTCGATGATATGGTGCTGAACTCTTCCGAACCCACAGCTCCGTAGCTCCTTCTTAACATAAGTCCACCATGTGGCTTGATCGGCTCGCAGCGCAGTCGAACCCGTCCACCTCCACGTTGTCGCAACCTGGCAGCCGACCCTACTCCCCTCTCCCTCGACGAACATCAAGCACTCCGTATGTCACCTCGCAACGTTCCGGTCTCACACCGAGAGGGTCGCAACTCTCTCTCATCTCCAATGATTCATCGAGCTCGCTCCTCGCCTCTCGTAGAGTTAATGGCTCCGGCTTAAAGCAATCCCAGATCACCTACGATGGGCCGGATTCGGTCGAAATCCTAGGCCAAATCCTGGACACGACCTCCATCACCGACTCTGTTGCGAGTAGCACTACGGGAATAATCACCCAACAGGATTTCGAATTGGATTACGACTTCGACGGGCTGAGTCTTCGAGAGCTTGCTAGTTCCAACAAGGCTGACACGCACGAGACGGATAGCCACCGGCGGCAAACCGCAGAGGAGTGTATGAACTTCCAGGGGGGCTGTATTGTTGCGACGTAGACCGCTAACTTGCACCTCCAGTCGAAACCAGCAAAGCCCAGTTCGAGGACCTGCATCGATCTATTGCGGCATGCGACGGCGTCCTTAGTTCGGTGGAAACCAACCTGACGAGTTTCCGTAACGATCTCGCGGCCGTCTCTGCTGACATAGAGAGCCTACAGTCGCGCTCCACGGCGCTCAATGTGCGGTTGGACAACCGCAAGGCGGTTGAGAAGGCGTTCGGACCGGTCGTCGAGGAACTGAGCGTCTCTCCCCAAGTGGTATCCAAGATATCCGAGGGGCATATTGACGACACCTGGGTCAAGATGCTGGCAGAAGTAGACAAGCGAGCTACGGCTTACAAAAAGAACGTTGTGAACCAGGGAAACAGCAAAGCCTGGTCAGACCTTGGCCCATTATTGGACAAACTGACAATGAAGGCTGTCGAACGAATAAGGGACTTTATAGTGGCTCAAATCAAGGCCATGCGGTCCCCTCACATCAACGCGCAAATCATTCAGCAGCAGAATTTTTTAAAGTTCAAAGAGTTATACGCCTTCTTGCATAAGCATCACTCAACGCTCGCAGAAGAGATCAGCCTGGCATACATGAACACGATGCGGTGGTACTACGCAAACCAGTTCACGCGGTACCAGAAAGCATTGGAAAAGCTTAAGCTACATGTTATTGATAAGAACGACGTTCTTGGGCACGAGGAACCGACCCGGAGGGCTACGGTTCTGTCCGCCGCAAAACCTGCTGGGCCGCCGCATGATGCCTTCAACCTGGGCCGACGTATCGACCTCTTGAAAACAAGCAACGCGGCCGCCCTATCGTCTTACCTGGCCGAGGAAGACCCGACCACGCACTATCTGGAGGTTCCCTTCAGGAACTTCAACCTGGCCTTGATAGACAACGCTACTGCGGAGTATACTTTCCTAGCCGCATATTTCTCGCCTCCACTGTCGTTGCAGGCAGTCTCGCGGCAGTTCAACTACATATTCGAGCCAACATTTGCGCTGGGCAAGACACTGACCAAGACACTTACTGCCGAGTCGTACGACGCGCTAGGCTTACTGCTGTGCATCCGACTCAACCAGCATCTGGCATTCGAGTTGCAGAGGCGCAAAGTCCCCGCCGTCGACGGTTACATCAACATGACTACCATGCTTCTGTGGCCGAGATTGCAGGTGGTGATGGATCACCATTGCGAGTCGGTGCGGCAGCTAACTAATTCCTTGCCCACCAAACCCAGGGCCGCGGACCAGAACAAGCTGTCGGCGGCGCCTCACCTCGTCACACAGAGGTTCGGTCAGATCCTGCAGGGCATTTTGGCGCTCAGCACCGAGGCGGGGGACGACGAGCCCGTTGTCACCAGCTTGCGTCGCCTGCGGTCCGAGGCGGAGGCCTTCTTGACGCGACTCAGCCAGTCGTTTGGCGATAAGCGAAAGCGCGAACGGTTCCTGTACAATAATTATTCTCTGGTTTCTACCATCATTAGCGACGTCGGCGGCAAACTGGCTGTGGAGCAGCAAGAGCATTTCGAGGAGCTCAAGGCGGCGTTTCAGGAGGGTGCCTGAGAAGAACTTTCGTACTAGAAGACACAGGGATATGTTTTGCAGGCTTGGGAGTAGGCGCGGCGTCGGGTGCTCTTTGTCGGATGAGATATCATGAATGTGCGGGAGTCTTTGACTCTACCGCTGAAAATTTAAATTTACATGATGAGACAACCTTTCGAGAGGCTTGAGGCTTGAGGCTTTCCCCAACGCTCTCTAGAAGTTATGCGTCCAGTTCGTTCCATTTGTCCATTTGCTGTACAAATCTACCAGCGCAGATACGGGACTGCTGTTCCGACGGCCTAGATAGACGGCCACGAGGCCGACGACGACGGCCAATCCTGCTGTGGCAGCACCCTTTCTGTACATCCAGAGCACTCTCATGAGTTTCTGTCGGCGCTCCAGGGCCTTGAGTTCTGCCAGCTGTTTCTGAAAGTATGCATGCCCTTCATCCATCGTCTGCTTGGCACAGACCTCGACGGAGCGCGCCGTCTTCAGCGAGCTCGCCTCGGATATTCTGCGCCACGCAGACAGCGACTCTGGGGGATATCGCTCGTACAGCGCGGTGGCGCTGGCGATGAGCGACTCGAGGTCCATCTTCTGCGGGACCTTGGAGAGGATGAGATGCAGCATGGAAGGATCGTCCTCGTCGTTGTCGAAGAGCTCGTCCCGGCGGTTCAAAACAATCTGGGCGAACATGTAGACGCTAAAGACGGGCTCGCGGACAAGGAGGATGTCAAAGAGGCGGGAGATGTCGCCGTACGCCTGGATGTCGTGGGCGTACATCGTCAGCGTCCCCGCGAGGGCGTAGAAGGGCTCCGTGCCGGCGAGGTGGCGCTTGAGATTCGGGTCCGCCGCCTGGAGAATATCGGGGATCAGGCGCAGCTGGGCCACGGTCGGCTCAAGATTCGTGAGCATGAAATCTCGTATGCGCAGCACCGACAGGCGCGATACCAGCCGGGCGCGCCACGGCGGCTCGAGGACAAGCATGAACACTTGGCAGATGTCATGGTAGCCTTGGAAGTAGCAGAGGTATGGGTAGCGGCGTAGAACTTCGATAATGAGGTCCGAGAGTTCGCTCTTATTCTTTTCGAGTTCGGTGTCGTTCTGGTCTAGGCGTTGGTCAGCGCTTGTCTGGGGCGGTCCACCGCTCCTACTACAGCGCAGGTGCGGCAAGCAATGGCCCTCTCACGGTTCGGGTAGTAGATGAAGGCGCGGTTGACATCAAGCGCCACTTGTTCCTCGTCCCTATGGCGCGGCAGGTCCTTCCAAGAACTCTTGTCCTCTTGCTCGGTTGCGACGGTGTCCTCGGAACTCTCGCCATCTGTAGGACCTAGGAGGATGGGCCCTGTGACCGACGGCAGGTCTGTTAGCTTCACGGCATTGCAAGGCAACGACGCGCAATGGCTGGTGCTGCAGCACTAACAAGCTTTCCTGCGCAAAGCGTCCGTAAGAAAACCGCCTCTGGTGCCAGCAAGGCCCCTGAGAGCTTCAATATTCCTCCACTTGCATGCTTCCAAGATATCTTCCGTCTTCCGCTGGCTCGGGTCGACCGTCTCGCCCTTGAGCTGGATATCAGTCACCGAGTCAGAGCTGAGGAAAGGCTGCTCGCTAGCGGCTCGGTCTGCCTCCATGGACTCGTTCTGGTAGTCGACGTTGTTGTGTTACGGCGCTTCGAGGGGGTTGTCAGTAAGGATTCTCGTCTCCGGGACGGCGTCTGCATCGTGCGGCGGCAAGCTCGAAAACGATATGCAAGGGCCGATGCCACCCGACGCTCGCTGGTTGGACTTGAAAAGTCCGGGGAGCCTGACGATGTCAAGTGATCAACTAGAGGTCGAACACGTCTTCAATGGCGAGAGCTAGGATTTGAAGAGCTGGGGGGGGGGGGGGGGGGGGCAAGTAGAGTGTTACATGCGTCGGAAGAGTGTTGTGCAGTAGACTATAACCCAAGGAAACTGAAGGCCAGAAGCTGTAACTAGAATGACGGAGTTAACTCCACAGCGGACCTCTGTTTCGAACTTCCAGCGTGGCCCGGTGCCCGTGTCGCAAAGCATCCAGGGAACATGCACACCCCCCACCCCTCCCCCCGGCCTGGATCGACACAACAAGATGCACAGGCCCAGCCTTAGGTAACGGATATCACGACCCGTACTGACAGGCGAACTTGATTATCGCCCTTGCACCTAAAGCATTTGTGCAAGGTCAAAGTGTTGCCAAGGGAGTCGGGGTGCAATGCGGTCCGCCGAGGCAAGAGTATATATGAAACTCAAAAGATACATCGGAATTGATCGCCTCACGCGACATGCAATCGACAAATAGCCAAGCATGTCGCATGTTGGTGCCTTATAGGCCAAGCAAAGGAACCAAGAATTGAGATGGTCTCCCCACCTAGGATACGCTACAAGAGACTCGAACCAAGGTCACGAACTTAAGGACAGAAACCCAGTCGTTAAGAAACCTGGCTTCAGGCATGGCGGCACGGGCATTCCCAAGCGGATTCGACGTCTTCCGCGTAGTGTCTCCCTTCTAGACCGTACTTCATATTTGCAAATGAGATGAAGCCACTCACACGGACGTCGGGCCAAGGCATCAACTGGCACCTTACGTCCGTAAGCTGGCTATGATCTTTAGGGTTTTATCACAAGCCCGCCAGGCGGCAAATTCAGACACAAGCATCCTCCAATCACTAGCAAATTATCCTCTCCTAAACCCGGCTGTCAGATCACCTGTGAAAGTCGACTCGACGATTAGGTCGAGACGAACATTAATCGGCGTGTTTTGACACCGCCTCCAAAACAGCACCTCGAGGGAAGATTTGGAGCCTGCCAGCTGCGAGTAGGACACGCCAACATGAAGCTTCTGTCAGCTACACGATGACATGGTGAAGTCTGTCGACTTCGTCAAGCGCGCCTGTACGTTCACGAACACATCTGGAGGTAATATTCAAGAGACCAATCGCCTGACCAATAATTAAGCAAGGACCGGCGATTTATTCTGACTTTCTTATTTGGCGCCGGAACTTCCTTACACCGGTAACATTGGAATTTCCCATCCAATTGTTCGACTCCCAGATGGTTGCTGGTGGCGGATGGGGTGGCAAGGGTTTCGCGGGTCAACTTCTTCAGCGGCCGTCAGTGTCATGCTGTTCCGGTCAACTCACCTTATTACTGCTATATACTTCGGATACGTGCAGTTGTTCCCTTGAAATCATTGAAGACCCTGTCTGCCTACCTGTTGTCTGCATATCGCCTGCCTGCCGCCCCTCCTTGCTTGATAGGCACACTGTACATGTAGATAGGTAGCTTCAGACCATACTTACGTAGGCACCTATCACCACCGATGCTTCATCATCTTTCCGGACAGTACGGACACATTACTACCAAAATTTTGTCACAATAGAGTACCTGATTGGACCGCACGTCGTTCGCAGGACCTGGGCAAAGCCCCAGGTTGTTTGGCTCAGAAGGGTGCGTTTCGCGAACCAACTCGCAGATCCCTGGGTTGTTGCTCCACAACGCGCGCGCCTTGGACGGAATGATCCAGATTGTAGACAGCATATGCCCCTATCAAGCTACCTCAACACCGTAGTTTGTCATGTCTCTCCTGGGTCGGCCGAGCGATCAATCGTGTGCATAAACAGGGTCTTGGGCTAAAAATGGTGTATCCTTGCAGTCCTAGCTCTGCACCACTGGAACTGAACTGAACTGAACTGGTGATTCAGTATGGACGGCGAGGATGTGTATAAGCCGATATGAGGGTCTTTGAACGGATGGTCTACCTACTCTCAACCATACAGGTGAAGCTGTCCGCTGGCCCGAACCCCGGGGCCCGCCTTGCTTCGTTACCTGACGGATGTTCTGCCTTGTATCCCGGCCATTGGTTCCTTCATGTTGGCTTCCTGACAATGCGTTTTCATTTGCTTGAGTTTGACGCAACGTGGTGCCCCACCATAGCCGACGTAGTCTTTAAGCTAGCTAATCGGGACCATGATTACCTGCCCTCTCACCTCACGGCGGGGTAGGTACTCTAAACCCAACCTCCCCCGACTGTCGCAACAGGCGGCACAACTACCTTGTGTACCTCATCTCACCCATACCTATCTCGAGGTAGCTCAGCCCCAGTCACCATCCTGTCGTACGGCCGATACATCCGCATTCTCAAACATTTGCGACAAATGGCAAAGGACTCTCTCATATTGATTTGAGTCTTTCAGGTCACGAGACCCAACCTTTTGCTCCTCCCCGTGCAGGGCAAGAAAAGCAATCTCGGTTCGGTTCCACGGCTGCCATCATTCCTTCGGCCTGCTGTCCTCAAGACCAAGAGCTAGCTGGTTCAACCATGTTGACATAGTACGGTCTGTCGAAATGGCCTTTCAGACGAACGTCTTCAGGAATGGAGCCTGGGTGACGGAAACCATCGACCTCCAAGCTGTGCTAAGGGGCTCAACCGCCACTGCTGCCGCCGCTGCACCCCCTTCACCCCCTGCCCCTCCAAATTGCGGCATCCTGACGAGAACCATCATCGAGAGTCCTATAGCCCGGTGGGTTCTCCCAGCTCGCCTCAGATCAGCCCATCATAACGATGTCGCTTTCGTCGGGGTGAGTCGCTTGCTCTCTCACCTTCAATAGCCACCTGCTGGCACGGGTTTGGGGTCCTTGCGCAGCCTTAAGCGTGCCGTTTTTCTTGTCAAGAATGAAAGCTCACATGGCCAGGACCGTTACGTGAGCATCAACGAGTTGCGCAAGGATGGCCAGCTCCAAGAGGTTCTTCGAAAAAACGACTTCGGCTGCCGCATCCGAAACGCCTTAGTGATTGGAAACAAGTATGAGCACTTCCGTGTCGTGGCTGAAGAAGCTGGACCCGACCATATCAAAAGTGAAGACGAGGACGACGACACTCAAATGGCTGACATCAGCTCCGCTTCCGCCACCAGCGGTCCCCATGGTCTTTTGCCACCACATTTGTTACTCCTGATCCTCGAGTCCGGTTCCTTCGTTTTCCTCTTCATCAGGAGGGACCTTCAAGGAAAGCTAGAGTTCGTCGCGTCGCCCTTCCACAACCCAGCCAGGCGACTAGGCCGCCTAGGATTCCATGTAGCCGTTGATCCTCGATCTCGCTACATTGCTGTTGCTGACGCTCAAAACAAATTCGTCGTCTATGAACTCGAATCCATGGAGTCAATGGGCGACCAATATATGCGTCACAAGTCCATCAACCCAATAAAGACACACCATCCAAGGGCAATCCAGGGGACAATACTCAAAATGGAGTTTCTCTATCCCCGCCCAGAGGATGAACAGCATGTTATTCTCCTTCTCATCGTTGTCAAAGGCGACAAATCAAAGATGGTTATCTACGAATGGGAACGTGGGGATGACCTCAGCCAGGTACTCGCAGAGGAGAAGCGTGGCCACCGCATAGCACCCGAGCATCGTCTGCCACTCTTGATAATTCCTTTGACAGTTAGAAGCTCCTTCTTTGCGGTATCCGAGCACGCGCTTGGGATCTGCAAGGACCCCCTTCAGGGCCCTCCTGATATCGAGACGATCAACCCGATCAGCCACCCCACCACCCCTTTCCACCATGGAACTGGTGTGCCACTCTGGACGGCATGGGACAGGCCAGTACGAAGACGACGCTACTACGACACAAAAGACCTCATTTACATGGCTCGGGAGGACGGCGTGATTGTTTTCTTTGAGTTTAATGCCACAGACATCCTTAGCGCCGCCATGAATGTTGGCAACTGCAACTGCAATATTTCCACCGCCTTCACCACAATGTACGACGCCTACTCCGATGTTGCTATAGTTGCAGGCGATTCCGGCCCCGGAATGGTCTTCCAGGTAAGGCGGATTTGAAGTGTGATGCCAAGGGTCGCTGCTAACGGACAAGATAGCTCAAACCTCGAGAACCCCTCGTCGAGCTTGGAATCATCCCCAACTGGTCGTGTGCTGTTGATTTTGTCACCACGGATGCTCTAGCCACATGGAACCCGAAGAGCGGGTCACGGGGCAAACCAGTCGTGCCCTGGCGACAACGGACATTAGATAACATAACATCTCCAGACAAGGTCCTTTGCGCATCAGGAAATGGTCCTCAAGGCAGCATCACGGAACTCCGCTACGGGCTTCCCGCCAACATAATATCGTACTTTGAACCGCTACCCACGAGAAGAGTATGGGTATTCCGGACCACCGATGCCAGCTGGCCATACCAAATGTTGATGGCAAGCCCTGGAACCTCGGATGTTTTGCTGGTATCCGCCGACCTCTCTCTTGCGGAGATGGCTGACTCAATGTCAACCCAATTCGACACGGCATCCCGAACTCTTGCAGCAGCACAAAGACCAGACGGAACCATGATTCAGGTATCCGAGAAATACATCACACTGATAAGCCGAAACCACAGGTATGATTCCAACGGTCCATATCGTATTACCCTACGATCCCTTAGAAGTTGCTAATATCCTTTTTTTAAAGTTCGAGACATAACCTCGATGACTTCACCTGCATCGGCGGAGTAACGGAGCATGCTGCGGTCAGAGGTGATCGTGTTTGTGTGTCAACCTATGCAGAGTCTCGCTTTCACATCCACGCATTCCTTACTAGCATCGCTGAGCTGTCTCTCACTCAGACATATGCCGTCGATGGTGAGGTGACTTGTCTAATACTCTGCTGTATCAATGGACAAGAATGCATAGCGGCTGGCTTATGGCGTCAGAACAGCCCTTGGTTAGCAATTTTTACTGCTGATAAGTCGACTCAAGCTCCTCAATTGATACGGCTCGATGGCGGCAAGTGCAAATCTTCTTCTCTCAGAATTCGCGGCAGCTAATGTTACCATCCGTGACAGATGACGAGGGACTCGAGTCAAACGATGGGGATGCAATGGAAATAGCACCGACCGTTGAGCTTGTCAATACTATTGTGGCGATAACTGAGTCAAAGCAGCAAACGAGTCTGGTTATGGGAACTCGCAGCGGCCACCTGATCACAGTTCAACTCAATGGCGCCGCTCCCTTTCATCGACGTCTGTTTAGGGAGAGGCTGGGTACAGTCGCTCTTGAGGTGTTTCCTGTCGACGCGCCGTTTCTCCCAAGCTCGGTCTTGGTATGCTGCAACGACGCTCTGCTTCTGCTGAGAGACTTCGAGACCAGGCGGCCAGGCCACTTCGCCACCAGGCACCGCGTGTGGGTAACTGACCTAAAGCATCCGGCAACAGGTTCAGTACCGGTTATCTCCGCCGCCAGCATACCAACCGACCTCGGCGGCAGCAATCGATTACCCCTGGTTCTCCTTTCAGGGGAACGTATGTCGTTCACGGAGCTGTATCTGAAAGCTGGCCCGGTTCCAAAAAGTCTGCCGTTGCCCGGAACACCCTCCAAGTTGCTGTACTCCCAAACGCTACAGTGTTTGGTTGTCGCAGTCCAGATCGGACAACATCCGACCATCCTGTTCATGGACCCCGAAACAGGAGATGATCTCTCTCTCCCTCAAGACAAGCACGGCAACGCTACGCCATTTATCAGTGGGATGGGAAGCCCCAACGACAGGATACACGCAGTCTATGACTGGCTGTTCATAAGGGATGGGATGACGTTTCATTATCTCATCATCACAACAGCGGGGGGACGCCTCTTGCTTGTGACCCCAAAGAAGGAAGAAAGCCGTGACGCCGAGGGTAACAGGAGAACGAGGATACGGTTTTTCACTAAATACAGACTGAAAGAGCCTGCACCCATATACTCCATTGTCGGGGACAGTGATAGTATCATCTACTGCGCCGGGAATATGTTACACTGGGACGTTCTCGATCCCGTCGAGAAGAAGCTCGTCCGGAAAAAGAGCTATGAGTTGAATTCTCCCGCGACTTCGCTGCGGATAGTCAACGGCAAAATATCGGCGCTGACTCTGAGCGACTCGGTAGTGGTCATTGACCACACATCAGAACACGAACACGGCGACATGAAACAGATCCATGCGGACCAGGTCACGCGGAAATCCAGTCACTTCTTCGATGTCGGGGATGATACAGACGAACAGCTAGCCTGGCCAGTGACTTTGCTCACTGGTATAGACCGGTACTTTACGGCAGTGTGGACTCCTTGGAAAGAGCCTCAAAGAGAGTTGGAACTTGTCGCAGAGGGGCCACTCCCGGCCAGTGTCAGGAAACTCCAACGGGGCCATGTGCGACCGGAATGGGTTGCAACGGAACATATGCCAAAATACGGCAGCATACCCAGCACGGTCGACGGGGCCGAGGTGCTCGGGGTCTGCCTGGACGGGTCGTTGTTGCACTTCAGCCTTGTCAACGTTCAAGCATGGCGATTCCTTCGCCTAGTCGAGAACCTGGCCTTGAGAAGCCGACGCCTATTTCCGTACAGCTACAAAGTCTCGGTTCAGGACGCTGAGGAATATGACGCGGAGGCAAAGGAGACGCCCAAGTCGATGAAGCACATCGACGGAGACCTGCTCCAGCGGTGCGTCGACTATCGGGCGCTGGAGAAGATGGTATCGGAAGACAGCGATATTGACCTGTTGCGGGAGTATCTGGACGACCTGGATGACGGAAAATGGACGGCATCGTTCCAGGACACCAACGACATCACAAGGTATTTTGAGCTGGCCTACGACATCTTAGACTACTATCTGGCTCCTGTTATTTGAGCCATCGTATTAAACACGGTCGTCCAAGGGGAAAGGTGTATTGCCCCCTATCCTACGGGGAATCCTCGCCAGGAGCGTCGGGGTGAGAGTCATTGGACGAAGAGTCATCATTCATCTGTTGGTCAATTTCTTGCCTTTCGCCTCGTCAAGCAAGTGTGCGCGGCTCAAAGGAACGGTTGAATGGGTCTGTGTAAGCAGAGAAACCTGGACGTTATCACCTCATGTACCTTACGCTACGGCGATGAAGCCAGCTCTCCCTCATAACCTGGTGGGCACTCGAGAACCTCGACAGATCTAACTGAGTTGTAGAGACCGAGGTGCTAGCGTGGGCACATCGGTAGCTTAGCTTCCAGGTTGTGTGCGTCGTCGTACTGATCATTGGAGGTCGGCCGTAGCTGTAACGGAGCATTTCGAGTGGGTGACACCTTTGATCGACTTTTTTTGTTCGCACTGTGAGCGGGTGGTGCATGTGTGTCCTGCCCTACCTTTACTAACAAGTACTCCTACTACCAGAGACACGCCCCGAACGCAAGGCAAGGCAAGGCAACCAGCCCAAGAGGCCTCGATTGAACACATAATGAAACCAGTGCCACTCATGTTCCAATCGGAAAAGAGGGAAGGGGGAGTTGAAAACGGTGCATAAAGTTGTGCAAGTGCGGGTTGGTAGCCCAACCACCACACCTTCGATACCCCAAACCCACAGCGTCCGTCTATTTTACGCACCACGTGCGACAGCACAACGCACCGGACTCCTGGTCTCTGAACAGTAATTGAATACAGTCGTCTTTTGCCCCGCAGTGAATCTTTGCCTCCCCCATTTTCACTGCTTAAGATTTTGAATACCTTCGAACGGCTGCCACCCTTCTTCCCTCAAGTCGAGAAATACAGACGTACTGCATCGTCCGTATTATGTCGTGTCAGTCCCCACAGGATTTCACCCAGGACTCGGTTTTCTCGCCACCCAACCTCTTGCATCGTTGAAAAAGCCTTCATTGTGCTTCTCTTCTCAAACCCCCCAACCCCACCCATCCTTGGGAAATCCCATCAGTCCTCTACCCGTCACCCTCTGCCTAATATCGCCCACACCCAGCAACTTTTTGCACAGGGCCCAACTTATTAGCAAAGAACCCTCGACTCGTCCACACTATTCCAACGTCAAACACCGCCAAAATGCCTCCCAAAAAGAAGGGAAACAAGGCTCGCGCCAACGACGACTGGGAGAATGAGCTTGGCGAGACCATCGCCCCCGCCGCCGCCAACACCTCAGAGACTGCTGCTGAAAAGCCAGCCGAGGAGGACGAGAATGAGGCTCCCGGCGGTCTCATGGCCACTATGCGCAAGAACAGGGAGAAAAGAAAGAAGAAGGGCATCGAAGAGCCCCCCGCCGCGCCCGAACCCGAAGCCGAACCTTCGCCCAGTCTCGCCGAGAAGGCCCCTCAGGAAGCCACCATGGAAGACGAATTCGCCTTGCCCGAGAAGAAGGGCAAAGGTGGTAAGGGAAAACAGGCCGCCGCCGCCGCCGCCGCTGCCCCTGCTGACGGCGATGAGGACGGCGGTTCCGGCCGCGTCCTGACCAAGGCTGAGAAGGAAAAGTTGAAGAAGGAGAGAGAGAAGCAGCGTAAGAAGGAACAGGTGGGTCTACATTGTCTCTCCCCGAGCTATGTATATTTTACTGATGTTGCCATGCACAGGCTGCGAAGAAGAAGGGCCCTGCCCCTGCTGCGAAGGCCGAACCCGCCAAGGCAGCTCCTGAGAAGAAGGACTCTCCAACGCCCGCCGCTTCTGCCGTCGCCCCCCCGCCCGCCGAAGAGAAGGGTGGTAAGAAGAAGAAGATCCCCGCCGCCCTTGCTGCGCTCCAGAAGCAGCAGGAGGAGCTCCGCCGTCGGCAGGAAGAACAGGCCCGCATGGCTGAGGAGGAAAAGAAGAGAATTGAGGAGGAGGAGCGTGCCATGGAGGAGGAGAGGAAGCAGAGAGAGGAGGCCAAGGCTCTCAAGAAGCAAAAGGAGAAAGAAAAGATCGAACAGCTCAAGAAAGAGGGCAAGTTCTTGACCAAGGCCCAGAAGGAGGAGAAGGCCCGCAATGAGCGTAAGCTCCAGCAGATGCTTGCTGCCGGTATCAAGGTTGGTCCCGCCGACGAGGGCGAAGGCGACAAGAAGAAGAAGGTCGTCTACGACAACAAGAAGAAGGGGGGCCGCAAGGCGCAAGACAAGGTGAGTCTCTCATTGTTGTTTCCCTCAACAACCTCCAAATATCTAACACTTGGCCTTTAGATCGACGAAGAGAAGGCCCTTGCCGAGGCTGCCGAACGTGCCAAAAAGGAGGCCGAGCGACTCCACAAGGAGGCGGAGGAAAAGGCGGCCAAGGAAAAGGCCGAGGCCGAGGCCGCTGCCGCCAAGAAGAAGGCTGCCGAAGCCAGCGATCTGGAGGACGACTGGGAGGCCGCTGCTGCCTCCGACGAGGAAGATGTCAAGGACAGCTGGGACGCTGACAGCGATGAAGAACAAGAGAAGAAGAAGGCGGCTAACGGCAAGCCCACCGAGCCTGTTGAGAAGAGCGAGAACGATGAGGACGAGGATGATGACTCGGGATCCGACTCGGAATCCGACTCCTCTGAAGAAGATGAGAAGGAGACAGCGGCTCGCCAGGCCGAACTTCAGCGCAAGAGGGAGGCCGCGGAGCGCCGTGAGAAGGCTCACCAGGCCGCGCTGGCGGCGCAATCCAAGGACAACCTCCGATCTCCTATTTGCTGTATTCTGGGCCACGTCGATACCGGAAAGACGAAGCTTCTGGACAAGATCCGTCAAACCAACGTGCAAGAGGGCGAAGCCGGTGGTATCACTCAACAGATCGGTGCCACCTACTTTCCTGTCGAGGCCATCCGGCAAAAAGTGGCTGTCGTCAACAAGGACGGTTCCTTCGAGTTCAAGGTTCCAGGTCTGCTAGTCATCGACACCCCCGGTCACGAGTCCTTCTCCAACTTGCGTTCTCGTGGTTCGTCGCTTTGCAACATCGCCATCCTTGTTGTCGACATCATGCACGGCCTCGAGCCGCAGACCTTGGAGTCGATGAGAATGCTGCGTGATAGGAAGACTCCTTTCGTTGTCGCCCTCAACAAGATCGATCGTCTGTACGGCTGGAAGAAGGTTGACAACAACGGTTTCCAGGAGAGTTTGGCCCTGCAGCCTAGAGGTGTCCAGAACGAGTTCAAGAACCGTCTGGAGCAGACTAAGCTCGCCTTTGCCGAGCAAGGCTTCAACGCCGAGCTCTTCTACGAGAACAAGTCCATGGCGAGGAACGTCTCTCTCATCCCCACCTCGGCTCACACTGGTGAGGGCATCCCCGATATGTTGAAGCTCATTATTCAGCTCACCCAGGAGCGCATGGTTGGATCCCTCATGTACCTTGCCGAGGTCCAGGCTACCGTTCTTGAGGTCAAGGCCATCGAAGGTTTCGGCATGACTGTCGACGTTGTCTTGTCCAACGGTATCTTGCGAGAGGGCGACAGGATCGTCTTGTGCGGTGTTGAAGGCGCCATCTGCACAAACATTCGTGCCTTGTTGACGCCAGCGCCGATGCGCGAACTGCGTCTCAAGTCCGCGTATGTGCACAACAAGGAAGTCAAGGCCGCTTTGGGTGTCAAGATCAGCGCCCCTGGCCTCGAGGGTGCTATCGCTGGTTCTCGTATGCTGGTTGTTGGTCCCGATGATGACGAGGACGACATCATCGACGAGGTCGAGTCCGATCTCGCCACCCTGTTCAGCCGTGTCGAAAAGACTGGCCGTGGTGTCAGCGTGCAGGCGTCCACTCTTGGTTCCCTCGAGGCTCTGTTGGATTTCCTCAAGGAGTGCAAGATTCCCGTCGCCAACGTCGGAATCGGTCCCGTGTACAAGCGCGACGTCATGCAGGCTGGCATCATGCTGGAAAAGGCGCCCGATTTTGCCATCATGCTTTGCTTCGATGTCAAGGTCGACAAGGAGGCACAGCAGTATGCTGACGACGTCGGTGTCAAGATCTTCACGGCAGACATCATTTACCATCTTTTCGACGCCTTCACCAAGCACATGGCCGAGCTCTTGGAGAAGAAGAAGGAGGAGTCCAAGATGTTGGCCGTCTTCCCCTGTGTGCTCAACACCGTTGCCGTCTTCAACAAGACCAATCCCATTGTTGTCGGTGTCGACGTCGTCGATGGCCAGCTGAAGATCAACACGCCAATTGCTGTTGTCAAGAACAATGCCGTGACCGGCATAAAGGAAGTCATCAACTTGGGCAGAGTGTAGGTTTTCCCCGCGTACTTGCTTGCAAACTGTCTGTCCCCTTCACAGAAAATTAACCTGAACCATTAGTACTTCGATCGAGCGCGACCACAAGCAGGTCCCCGTCTGCAAAAAGGGCCAGCCCTCTGTCGCCGTCAAGATCGAAATGGGTGGTCACCAGCCGACTTACGGCCGCCAGCTCGAGGAGTCGGACACTCTGTACAGTCTCATTTCGCGTGCCTCCATTAACACCCTGAAGGAGTTCTACCGCAAGGACGTCAGCAACGACGAGTGGAATCTTATCATCAAGCTCAAGCCCCTCTTCGACATCCACTAAATACAAACAATACAACCCTTCCCCCTTTCGTTTCCCACCTTCTGGGAGAACGACCTTGGCCTCTGTCTTTCTGTCCGAGTCGTGTGATGGATAGAGAGTTTCTGCGAGGGCGGTTTCGTTTTTGCGTCATGAAGGAAAACTGTATTTCCTGGTATGGGGAAAGTGGAAAGGAAGAGAGGAACCCCCCTGGCTCGGTTATGGCTATGGCTATTGGGGAAAGGATTGATGATGGACGAGTAAAGAAAAGAAGAAAAAGGGGGGAAGCCCTCTCTGGTTTTGTGTATGATCATTTATTTTCCCCATCAATCTCGTGCATTATGTCTCATTTTCTGGCTGTCATTGTTCTGTTCTCTTCTTAAACCCCCCTCCGCGACGAGTCTACTCCCCCAAAAAGCGTATGGTATAATGCTGCGTGGTACAATTTCTAAACAAGAAATATCTTGGAGCCATTCGTGATTTCCACCCAGGCATGCATAAGGTCTAAGGCCGTGGTGAAGCGAGGATCCATCGTCGGCTTCCGCGGGGGGGGGGAGGGTTCAAACCTCGCGATGTTCGGTTCTCGCCAAGTTGGTTGCGCAGTCAGCGATATCATACAAACACTAATAGAAGAGGTGGGTGGGGGTGGTGATGGCTATCAGCATGTGGTTATGATGACTTTGCTTTACTATTTCATGACGGACCTCCCGACGCCTTAGTGTGTACATTTGAAGCCTAGAAATGACGCGCAATCACGTTAAGTCAATCTGCACGCAAAGGCAGCTGCTAGCTTAGATGTCATCAAAGGTCATGTCATTTCTCTCATTCCATGATAAACCCGTCGAAGCTGCTCTAGCCTGATAACCCTATTCCGACCCGAAAGAAACCATAACTAGGGTCTATTCTATCGTCTTCGGTTCTTCTCGCTTTTCTTTCGTTCTCATTCAAGCGCCGATCTAATCGACGGGGTCCCTTATTTCGTGGCCTCGCTAGCCTCCTCACCCTCGGGCTTCTTGCCATCGGCATCAGTCATCTCCTCATCCTTGGAAGCCTTCTCCGCCTCGGCAGCCTTGCGGGCCTCCTCCTCGGCACGCTTAGCAGCCTTCTCAGCGTCTACCCTCTCCTGGACGAGACGACGATCCTCTTCGACCTTGTCGAAGTGGCGCTGGATGATGGGGCCAGCCATCGCGCGGATCTCGTCAATCTTGGCGATGTAAACGGCCTTGGTGGTGTCGTCACCCTCATCGTACAGCCAGTCCTATTGTGAGCGATTAGCAAATTGTTGCCGAAGAAATTGGGTCTCGAGGATACAAGACTTACCTCAGTCTGCTCAAGCTTCTCCTTGATCTTAGTCTTCTCCTCGTCACTGGCGAACTCGGCGTACTGGTCGTCGAGCTTGTTGCGGAGGTCGTAAATGAAGGTCTCGAGCTCGTTCTTCTTCTCCTCCGTGTCGGCAACAAGTTTGTCCTCCATGACCATGGCAGACTCCTTTTCAAACAGCGAGGTTCTCGCCGGGTCGGACAGAGACGCGGTGCCGCTGACAATAGGAAGATCGCCCTTGCGGACCTGCTTCTTAACCTTGCGGACCTTCTTGGGAGCTTCCTCCTTGTTATCGGTCTCCATGGCCTTTGGGAGTGCATGTGTTAGCTTCGATATTTCATCATCGTCCTCCACGGATGCGCAGGGCGGGGATTGACAAGACTTCGGGTCGATACCGTGTCGTCGACGCTTCAGCGGCGACTCCATGCTATCGCCCACCGCGGCAGAGGACAAAAGTTCAGAACGAGACACCGCAAAACTCACATCGGGGTCCTTCTTCTCTCCATTCTCTTCATCCTTGACCTCCTCCTCAACCTCCTGGTCCTCAACGTAGTAGCCGCTCTCAACATTGAGAACACCGTGGATGTTGACGCGTGCTTTGAGCTTGCAGATCATGAAGTCATCCTTGCCGTCAGCCTTGACGCCCTTGACAGAGAAGCGACCGATCCAAGGGTTAATCTTGCCAGGGAGATCCTGGGGCTTGGCGTAGCGAGCCTCGAGGTCGAAGGGCTGCTTGCGGTAGAAAGTGAGAATCTTGGTGGATGGCAAGACGTTGCCGCGGTTGAAGACGGTCAGGCTAGTATCCTCATCGGGGATATCAGGGGCCTTCTCCCAGGTGAATTCAATAGGGTAGCTCATGATGTCTTGGACAGTGAAGTCACGGACTCTGAACACGGGAGACAGGATGGCGCAGCTGAAAGCGGCGCCACGAGCAACAGCCTCGTCCTGGTTCAGGGTGAAGGACAGGGTCTTGCCGAAGAAAGCCTGGATCCTCTCCTTGAGGGCGGGGACACGGCTGCCACCACCGATGACCTCAATGGCGTCAATATCGTCCTTGGTCAGCTTGGCCTCAGCCAGAGCCTGCTCAAGAGGCACATGGACGCGGGCCAGCAGGGGCTCAACCATAGCCTCAAACTCCTGACGGGTGATCATGGCGGAAACGTCCACGTCGTTCATAATGGATTCGATGTTGACGGGGGCCTGCTGGTTGGCAGACAGGATCTTCTTGCACTTCTCGGCAGCGGCGATGGTGCGAGCCATGGCGCGGCCGTTGGAGTGGATGTCGATCTTGTACTTGCCGCTGAACTCCTTGCCGAGGTGGTCGACGAGAGCCTTGTCAAAGTCACGACCACCAAAGTGGCGGTCGAAGGCAGTGCCCTTGACAGCGAGCTCGCCCTTCTTGAACTCGACGATGGAAGCAGTGTAGTTGCTGTGGCCAATGTCGATGAAAGCGACGCGGCGGGGCGGCTCCTCGGGGGCGGGGAGGTCGAGCTTGGTGATACCCCAACCTAGAGCGGCAGCAGTAGTGTCGTTCATGAGGCGGAGGAGCTTCAGGCCAGCGATCTCGGCAGCGTCGATGATAGCGCGGCGCTGGATGTCGGTGAACCAAGCAGGGACGCTCATGACCAAATCAGAAACAGGGAGCTTAATCTCAGCCTGCGTCGTCTGCTTGATCTTGCTGAGGAACATCGCGATCAGCTGGGTGTTGGTGAACTTCTCCTTCTTGCCAAGGTAGTTGACCTCGACGCCGACCTGGCCATTGACATCGACGAGGGGAGCAGTGATGTACTGCTGCTCGAGCTGGGCATCGGGGTCATTGAAGGCGCGGCCGGCAAGCCGCTTGATGGAGGAGACGGTGTTCTTCAGGTTGGAGATTTCTTGCGTCTTGGCGCTCTCGCCGAGGTATCGCGACTTGGGCCCAAAGCCAACCACAGACCTACGGATAAAGGTCAGTACAGCTGGGAAAAGGGTGTATGTAATGTACGCTGGAATCCGGACGGTACGTACGGTGTGGCTCGGTTAGAAACCTCGTTGCAGATCTAGATTGCCAACGTTAGTCGTCGTCGTTGTTCTGCGGCAGAATGTAGAATTTTTTTGTAGGGGGAGGGGCAAATGTTGGGTACGCACCACATCGACGCCACGATTTCTGGCGACGGCAATAACCGTCTTGAGGGTTCCGAAATCGACACCTGAAAGCAAAAGAAGAAAAAAACAAGTCAGCCAATGCTCCTTCACATGCTACGTCGACAGGCGACGGGATCGGGAGCGGGGGTGCGCAAGCATACCGACGACACTCATGTTGGGTGGTTGTGTTCTTTCTGAGAATATTGTAAACAAGGGTCGTCTGGCGGACTTTTGGTGATGGCGGGGTTGCGCTCACAACGACACTCTGGAGAGGGGGAGAGGGGTGGAAGATGCGAATCGAGTCGAGTCGAGTCGAGTCGAGCCGAGTAGTGGTTGATTATCCGACTTGCTGGAAGGGTATTTTGCAAGCGGTCGAGTCGAAAAGGAGAAAAAAGATAAGACGTCTCGTTTGGAAATGATGGGGGAGGGAAAAGCAGAAAGCAGACAAAATGCAAGGTTTAAGAGTTTGTCGATATGCAAGAGGGCCTGAAGGTGGGATGTGCGGGAGGTGGGCAAAAAAAAAAAAAAGTTGCAGTGCACGCAGTTCGCTCTAGCGTAGAGTCGGAGCCTGGCACTGTACGGATGGGAAGGCGAGGCAGAGCGGTAAGCCCAAGTGGCCACCTTTATTGCTTGAGGCGAGAGATGATGCTATGTGCGTATTGGGCCTGGTGCCTTGTGCTGTTCTTGTGAGAGAGATGCGCTACTATTACACGATACCCAATGGTGGGCCTGTAGCGTGTTGGACCTCAGTGTATGGAGCGTATCTTTAGTGGACGAGAGGCGGGGTCTCTTTTCTTCTCTTTCTTTTTTTTTTGTAGGAAGTGTGAGGGAGCACCCCCTTCGGCAGAATTCTCACAGGCATCGCGGTCGGGGCGCTGATATAGTAGTGGAGGTCGAATAGAAAAGAAGATTCTCCTTCGTTCTCTGTCGTTCCGCTGATGGCCCCTGTCCAGGTTGTACGCTGTCCCTCCTCACGACCCAGTGTAGGTACCTCCAGCCGCCCTGCCCCTCCATTGCTCCATTGCCCCACCCCCTCCACCCCTCATGACACCCTCTCTCCAACTGGCGCATTCTGGGGCCTGCTACGTAAGGCCTGACGAGGCGGACAACCAAGGCAATGAGAAATATGTACGATAGATAGGTATGGCATTATTGCAATCTTCCTACCTGGCTGTACCCGCACAAATGCATCCAATCAATGTACCCTTTGCACCTGCGGAAATCGAGAACAATCCCGAGACATGTCAGGCTCTGTCTGCTCTGTCCCTCATGGCCCAAAGTCTGACACAAAGTGACCACATGTCACAACTGCACGGGTGGCCATGAATATTATGTCAACATCAAAGGCAATTGAGTTTCGGCCTAAATGCTCCGTACCAGCTCGTCCCTCGACGTTCCAACACCAATAATAATTATGGACCATTACCACTCGAAAATCACCAACTTGTCTGCTTTTCGCAACTGCCAAGGCACCTACTAATACGAACGGTGTCACAGCAAGCCCACTCCACATGCACTTATCTAATCTAACATTGGAGATACCCCACGATCGAGTAATGCCTTCTGCTCTATGCCACGATTATTACCACACCCATCTCCCCCACCTTTCCATCTTTACCTGAGTTGCTACCTCACGACATGCAATCACTGGCGCGAAATTAGCATTAGACACCGAGTGCCCATACGGCACTGCTGTCAGCTCCTTCAGAACCTGGGGAGCCGTCCGACTTTCCGCGGTCCAAACCCGTTGTTGCCGGTTTCCAAGACTATGACTGCCTCAAAGCGACATTCTATTAGGTAACTCTTGCCAAATAGCTGTCTGCCTATGGTTTTCCTCCTCTCAGATGTTCACGCAATTCAGGCTCTCTGATTCCCAGTTTTTTTCCTGCAATAATGGCACGTGGGCAAGTCGATTTCGTTATACAAACTGAAAAGCAAAGAATTGAAAATGATAATGATGATGATAAAGAGCAAAAGGGAAAGGCAAACACAAAGACGATGTCCTTCCATTTTGGCCTGCGTCCCCCACCACTGAGAGAGAGAGCCCTATCAACGCCAGCAATGATGCATATATCCATGCTGTGGCGAATCTCGCATTCCTGTTATTCCATCCTTCACCATTCTATGATCTGCCCTTGGGCGAGTTGTCGCGGGTGTTTTTACCGCTGCTCGAACTCTCACCTTCAGATGGGACGTCTTCCAGCGGGAATGGACGGGCAAGGCTAGACCGTGCAAGTGGACTACGGCCGCCACGTGCTGAATGAGTTGTTGACATTGAGTGCGTCGTCGTTGTCGTCGTGCTTGGCGCTCCCTGTCTCGACGATAGACCTCCAGACTGGAGTCGAGCGGCGCTGTTATCAACATAGCCCATCCTCACATTGTCCGTGTACTCATGATCGCCGCTGCCCAATGGGTCGAATCCGGCTCGCTTCATCTCGGCATCAGAATACTCATACACTCGGCCGGTCGTTGTCGTCTGAGACCCAAACCGCTTCGAGCTGGCCAAGAATTGGTTGAACTGGCTCTGCTGAGCGAGTTCGTACTTCTTCCTGTCCTCGTCTCCCATGATACTCTCCACACGACGAGGCACGTAGACCGAATTACCAGCAGTCTGCGCCGACACCATACTGTCGAACGAATCGCGTGACTGCAACCCCCATCCGTTGGGCCGATTGACAGCGAGCCGGGAGTCGTCGGCGTTGACGTAAAACCCACTCGACGTCTTCTCTCTGGCGGCAAAGCGGCCTTCGATATTGGGTGGCGGCTGGACCACACTGTGCTTGCGGCCCGTGGGTCCCACCATGCCCTTGCCGCCGGCAATGCTCTCCTTTCTAGCCACAGCGGCGGGGATGAAGGTTTCAGGCACGACGTTGAGATCGTCTCCGGCCTCCTCGGCTTGCTCGATGGCCTGCTGGGCGGTAGTAGAGGTATCGGCGGTAGCGGCGTCGGCTCTGGGCCCTCCCCAAGTTCTTTGTCCGGCAGTGAAGATACCGTAGACCATGTAAAACCAGTTGAAGAAAGGGTTAAGGATGAACATGACCGGGTAGAGCCAGATCTTGAATCGCCTAAGCTTTGCACCAAAGTACAACATCATGAGCCAGTTAAGTCCGAGCGAGATGGCGATGAACCCGACCGGCAAGTTTTCGACTTTCTTGGACGTGGTGATGATGGCGAGGACCATGATGAAGAACAGCAGAGCCGTAGTACGAATGGTGTTTTGCATAAATCGAACGAGAACCAGGATGGGGTACCGCCTCCAAAGGCGCCAATCGGTAAGCATGCACACTTCGTTGGAGAGGAAACCCAAGAACCAACGTCGTCGCTGCTTGATGAGTGACTTATAAGTCTGCACGGCCTCGGTCTTGCAGAAAGCTGATGTGCACATTTGGATTTGGTAGCGCTTCTTGGCTCCGATCATGAACAGATGGGTAAGCCAACGATCCTCCCCAAGATGGCACTTGGCAAAATCGAAGAGATCCTCGCACTGCTCGGCTTTGTCGGCAAAATAATACTTGGCCATGCGACGAAAAGCAGAGAATCGAAGCATTGTCAACGCACCGGGAAGGCAGGTAACAGCGCCGCATCCCGACTCGACAGTACGTTCGAAAAGCTGGCCGTGAATATACTCCATGTCTTGTAGCAAAGTGATCAGGCTATGCTTCTTAGTCGTAGACGTGATCACACCGGTCATGGCCAGCATGTCCCTGCTGTTGCCGGGACTCAGTTCCATGTCGTAGACGAAGTTCTGCAAGCACGTAGGATCAAGGATGCAATCAGAGTCGATGAAGAGAATGAAGAGGTTGTCGTTTCGCTTGAGGTAGTGCTCGTAGACCTTGTCGATTAGTTTGAAGGTAGCCTTCTGACAATGGCGCTTTCCACCATGCGGGAAACGGGAGATGGTGATGCGGGCGGATTTGTAGGTGACGTCGATGCTCTTGGGGTACGTCTCGAGAGTCAGGGGAACCCCCATCTTGTCAAGTGTATTCAAGTACAGTTCATCCTCCTGGTCACCGTCAAACGACAAGAAAACGTGAATGCACGATGGCGGATAGTCGCAGTCGACGACCGAGTTGATGGCGACGACAAGAACATCGGGGTCCTCCTTGTATACTGGCATAACAATGACGACTTTGGGAGCCGAAACTTCGTCGAGAACCTGCTTGATCCTTTTCGTTCTGCCAAGCTGGTTGGTGACCAGCTGGTAAACACAGAACAGCCAGGGAATGGTGAGCAGACCAGCGAAGCTCCAAAAGGCAAACCACTGCAGGACGTCGACCATATTTTTTGGCCAATACTTGACGATAGCACTGGGTAAGGGCAGTGTGACGATCATGATCGGGAGGAAAATAGCTCTGGTAAAAGTCAGTTTTGCAATGATTACCGTGGGGTATAGGGTGAAGTTGGTCGCTCACCTGAAGCATGTGAACAAGACGCCAACAATTACGGCCAGAAGTCGAATGGTCCAATGTTCGGCTTTGATAAAAACCTTCCAAAGACAGTACAGAAATGCCGCGATCCATAGAAACCATTCAAGAATGGCCGCCAACATGACCAAGCCCACAATGGACGTGTACACGATCTGCACAGGGAGTTAGCAAACAACCCCAAGTCGATGTTCAGCAAAACTCACATCCTTCGGCGCCCAATAGTTCCCGTCTACGTCCGCCATGTTGGTGAGTTATTGAGTGATTTGTGTGGGAATGGCTTCTTGGTCGACGAGCTCTGGAGGCTCTGCTGAGAACCCGAGGAGGGCAAGAGGCTGAATGAGCAACTACCCCTCAGCCAACACAAGAAAACCCAGGTCGCGATGAAAGAGATAAAATCCTGTAGGCAGGGTACGGTGTCGTCGGGTGCTTGCAGCTCGCTTGCTCGGTGTGTAACGCCCTGAATAATAGTTCCTTTGAGCCCAATGGCACGGGTAGGTCAGACTGAAAAGCTCGCCCCGGGCGTACGAAGCAAGGCCGTCGGGAAGGGAAGATTGGTGAGGTATTTGTGGTAACTGGGTACCACCTAGTCCGTAGTGGAAGTGGGAATCCTTGCCTGTTGGTCAAATGTGAAGTTAGAATGAAGTATCTCTGAGAACCCGGAGGGGGCAACTCGCCTTGCGGTACTAGCAAGTCCCCTTACCTTAACCACTGAAAACCAAAAAGGTTGATCGCGATGACTTGGATTCAAGTAGACTCTCGTGATATCAACGAATGCATCACAGATGGGGATCAGCAGAAAGGACAAAGAAGGTGCAGGGAGCAATGAAGACTAATAGTCGTGCCGGGGAGGTAAACAGACTGGAGGCACTGGCCGACTTGTACTTTTTGGAAAAGCCCTTGGCTTGACGTGTGGAGAGACGGAAAGGGAAAAGAGACCAAAGACAGAGAAAGAGGTGGCGCGAACGGGGTTCGAGACTCGATAGACCGCGCCGGGCTTGGATCAATCCGGCTTCTCACATACTTACGGGGTCATGACGGACGGCTCAAGGTCGTCAGTCTAGCTGGGGGTGAGGTGGCCAAGGAGGAGCAAGCAAACGACAGTCTATAAGCAAGCATACAAGCAGCTGCCCCCAGGGATACCTGAAATGCACGGGTTGAACAGGCACCAGGGTGTGCATGTATGTGTGCGGCGGTGGTCGGCGTAGCGCAAACGGTTACCCGGCTTCACACTCATCAACACCTACACGTGGGCCGAGTCTTGGAATCCCCCGGGCTCCCAGGCACGTGTACGGAGTATCTGCAACCTACTGGACGTCTCCGGCTTTTCTGCACGGCAGCAATGACGATGGGCCTCCCGTCGGGGAGACAGCCTCGCCTAGAAATGCATTCTGCTTCCTCCATGTGTTGTAGCATTCTAGCTCCTCTGGGCCGGGATGCCTCGTGTCTCGAAACTCCCTCGCAGTCGGACTGGTTGACAAATTGCGCATCATGGCTACCTCCAGGCCGCAGCTTCATCCATCCACATTGACGCGTTTTCCCGCCTTACGTTTGCAGCATTGACGAGAAGGGGGTGGGGGCGCTTGTGACGGTAACAGCGGACTGCCTCCAACAAGATCCTCGTTCGCTGTCGACTCCCTAATCATTGTCTGTGGAATGCACAGCTCATGCCAAGAGGTTCTTCAACACACCTGTCGATTCCAAGTTTAGTAGCCTGGCCGGGCTAGAGCCGGTAGTCTCCACCGGTCTCCAGGTCCGAGCAAGTCCTGAGAGAATGCGACGTGCAGGCCGGGAAGAGTAAGGCACGGTGCATCGGCTTACTTAAGCTGCCGCTCCTTCCCGCACCTTGGGGTTGCAGATTAGAACGAAAACGGGCTGGGCACAGTGGGGTCACAAGGATCAGATGGAGCCGCTGGGCGGATCGACAGTCCAGCCCGGGGGTCGGCCAGTAAAAGGGCAGCTCAGCTAGCTGTAGTTGTGGTGTTCCCGAGATGATTGCTTCTCACGATCGCGCAAGATTGTGGTACCTGGAGCACTTCCTTCCCTCGGGGGACAGTAGAAAGAAAACATCAGAATGGTCCGCGCCCACATGGAACCGAAAGGACGGATGTGATTTGATTGGGTCGATTAGTTTCCGGTAACCGATCCTTCCATTCCGCTTGGGACGATTTAGTCTAAGGGGCTGGTTGGCCTTGCAGAGGAAAGTTCTGGCCGTGTGGGGAATGCTTTCCGAATCATCCATCTCGTCTTCCATTTTACCTCCCTTCTTCCATATCCTCTTGTTTCTCTGACTTGGGTTGTCAGCATAAAACTTATGGAGATAGTGACGGTATCACAGCCGCCCTAACACGTCTGTGAACGTCCGAGCAACACTGGGTCGGCCGGAATGTGAGATTTCCATGACGCCAGGACAACGACGAGGGGATGAGTCTCCTACTGGGCCGCCATTCTCGCAGCTCACGCTGCCATTTTTCGGCGTGGCTTCGCCATCGGGATCGCCATCTACTGCCGAATCGAGTTTCACTTGCGTGGCTAGTGGCCACGCCCATACGTCTTCATCCACTGACGGCGCTTTGGGTCGGCATTGTCCTTTCTCGGCGCTGGTGCATGTATAGACGTTCGGTCAGGTTTGCCAAGCTCCCCAGGCTCCCGCACGCTCGTACTGCTTCACTGTCCGTTTGCGTCCGGCTTCCATCCAAGCTAAGAGGCTAGTTATTGAGCCAGGAGCTGCCGTCGGGGTCCCACAGCATTGGACAATGAAAGCACGGCTTTCGGAAAACGAGCAAACGAGCGGGGGCCCGTCTAAGAGAGAAAAGAAAAAACACCCGCCGCGTCAATGTGTCTGCATCGAACCCAGTCGCCGAGATCTGTTCGTCTGTTGTCTTGACTAAGGTCTAGCTAGGGCTCACACCTTGTACCTGCGTGGACCGCGCGGGATCCTTCTTTGCAGTAGCAGCAGTCTTGCATCCACCGGATGTATAAACCTAAACGTTAGCTTTGCAGCGCCGCAACAATCTCAATATCAACAACAACAACGCAGCTGGTTGTCAGGGCATACTTGGTTAGGGAATGGGTGAGAGCTCCCAGAGACACGACAGTTGCCATCGTCTACCCAACACCAGACAGACACCATTTCTCCCGGATGAACCTGACGATGGCCTGTTTGCCCCAACCGAAATATGTGTACTTCGTAATGTTTCCTCCTATGGCCTGCCAAGAAGCATCGTCGTGTCATGTTCGATCTAAACACCTAATAGCGTCGACTGAGATTACCGCACTCCACCCTCTCTTGGTTTGCTGCAGGTCACACCCCCAACCAGCGCGTCGCGTTGCGCTTTACCTGCACATCATACCTGCGATTTTTGTACAAGAACAGAATTTGACTCTCACGATCACATAATGGTTCGTTTTCTCGCTGGCTCCCCATTGTTGCCGCACAAGAAGCGACTGCTCCGTGCGACAAGTCTGGTACGCATATATCCAGAAATGTACAGTCTGTCTGGCATATGCATATTATCTATATTTCCCACCATCTCGAAAAGCACTTCCCCGTCCCCTCACTTAACGAACGTTACCGTTGACGAATTATGTGACTTCCGTCCACGCTAAAAAGCAGTATTGTCCGCAGAAGTGTATCTGGCTCCGGCAATAAGAGCATCAGCTTCAGAAGGGCACGGTGCCTGCCCCCCATGCTCGAGAACTATACTAAGGATCTGCCTTGCTTCTGCCGTCATCCCTTCGGCCCTCCATAGTCGGCCCACGCATCAAACGAATCTCAAGTCGAGTCTGTAGTAGTTCAGCGACCCGCTGCACTCCACATACGAAACGACTCCGCGGCCTAACTGCTACTTAGGGAGCAATCGTCGGTCAATTTGCTACTAGTCTTGGCCAGACCTTGAATATTCGGCTTGTCGGTCTGGAGTATCAGTTGGACGAAGCTCCCGAAAGCCTCAACAACCATCATGCCCGTTCTTGACTGCTTCTTACGCCCGGCATTTTTCGTGTGCCTCGGTAAGCCTCACGAGTCATCCTTTGGTTTGAAAAATCTCGGATGTTGCGGCAATCCGGCGGTCCGCTTCGGCGGCGTTTATTAGACTGCAATGGTTAATGTGTCTTACACAGAACCTAGTCCTGTGTGGTTTGATCCCTTCACGTCCTATAGTCAAAGTAAGAATTTCCCATCGTTAGCAAACTCTACTAGTATTTACGACCCCTGCGAGGCTGTTCCTTCCGGTCTTCCAGCTTGGACGCGGAACCCACGACCATCATGCAACGCTTGCGGACCGTGCCGTGATGATATGTTGGAGTAGTCATCGACTGCTCCTCATGGTCGATTGCCGGGCTCCGCGTCCGAGTGGGAAGAGGGTGTAGTCGCCTGCATGAAGCATGATCCACGCTTAATTGACGATGCGTACCAATCAACATCACTTAGCTGAAGCTTTCGGACTCGCTGTCCGCCGCGGTCTTTGCCGCGATCCGATCGGTTGTGGTGGTAGGACGTCGGCTTGTCGTGGCCTGCTTGGGTCTTGTGAATATTTGGGTTTGGGTGTAGTGGTGACACTAGGTGGTTATTACCATCGGGATCCTCGTTCTCTCGAAGATCGTAGTTCAAAACAAGGTTCTTGATGCGCTGTTGTTCCTCCCTTTCAGCCTGCTGTTGGGTCTTCATGGCGACAGCGAATGTCGAGTCTGAAGGAAGCTCCACAGTTCGGGTCTGTTGCTAATGTCAGCAAGGTCATGAGTTGACTCGGACATCCACAACTGCACGAACCTGTTGGCGATTGCCTTTTTTCGTCAAGAGAGAGAAAGCCATCGTGTTGCTGGGAGCGGGAGCTCCGGTTTCTACTGGCTCGGATCCGGTTGCCGTCTCTTTGGGCTTGCCCCGCACGGGGAGCGGCACGTCGAAAAGAGGCTTACGCTCGAATTTGCGCGATTCCAAACTCTCGGCCATCATTTTAGCGTACTCACGTTCGAATTCGGCTTCAGCCTCCGGGTCGATTTGCTCCTGTTGGCGAGTGACAACAATGGCTTCATCTTCGCTATCAGATTCTGCGCGCGACGTGTCGACGTCCTGGTCCTGTTCAACGTGTGTTAGTCACGGCTTATATATCAGCAGACGTGGGTAAAAAGGATATTCTACCTCGACGCCATCATCTTCAGAATCCGTTTCCTCTTCATCGGCCTCGGCTTCAGGAAGATGTTCATCGCCATCTTCGTCATCCGACGAAGAGCCTATCGATGCGTC